TCCATGCATAATGGGCTTTGTCCTTAAGGGAGATCTCTGTTATCCTTCGTATTAAATCAATTAATCATTTGCAAGAAAATTGTAGTGAAAATCATGAATAAAGATCGAATTTGCTCACAAATTGCTGAATTAGGAATGTAAAATCTCTTAAGAGTATTCTTTTATTGCATTCGCAACAAGATTTCTCATAATCGTTACGACTTTAGGCGATAATTTCCGTATTTAGACAAGAATTGTTAAGAAAAAGAAGAAAAAAACGTACAAAAATCCAGAATAATGATAGCAAGAAATGTCAGATAATTTGTCGTATTTTTAAACACTTCAAAATTTTGTAAATATAAACATTTATCAAAACAAAAACATGATAATAACCGAAAATAACCCAAACTTTCACTTCCTATGTTTATATTTCGGCCTCTGAATGTCATCACGAGTCTTTATCACTGTGAATTCACGAGAATTCTCTTGCTTATCAGCCGAGAGAGGTCAAGACATTGGGAAACGTGTGAACCCCTTATCATGGCTCAGAGGGTGTCGAATTGTTCTTCCTGGGCAGCGAAAGTTTGAGCGACTGTGAGAGGAGAATATTTGGTGGTAAAATTGTCGAGGGATGTTTTTCCTCTCAATAAAGCGAAAACTCCCTCGATGCGTCTCAAGGACCGGGAATTCACTCCCAAACCCCCTCTTCAGAGCAACTCTATATTCTCACTCCCTTGGCGCCTTTCGAGGGGCGGCAGGTGTTTGTCGTCCGCAGGAAAACTTACATTGTTGTCTTCTCTCTTTAATATATGCCAAGAAACACTGTAAATATCACACTCTTCGCGCGTGTGTGTGAGTGTGGTTCAATGGTTTTAAGATACAGAGTCCGGATAATGGAATTTCATGCATAGAGAATGAACGGAGGAATTTTCCGCCTCGTTTTCCCGCCCTTCGACTTCTTCTCTTCACTTTGAGCACCCACAAATCCACCCCAGATCCATATAATTCATAAAAAATCCACATTGTATGCCTCACAATCATTATCCGACGTCATAAAACGCAAGTACTGAGCGAAAAAAAATATATAAGTCAAACTATTCACCTCTCCTCAGCGGAGAGAGAAAGACCCTTCTTTGTCCCTTCCCAACCGACCATGAATTATTGCCATTCAATTCCTCCTTTACTGCCTTATTTCACCCATAAACACGCGCGCAAGAGAACAACTGAATGAAGTCTCCGTCGAGTGAAACTTAGAGAAGAGGAAGTGTGCCAAATTAAATCGTGATTCAATGAAATTTCGCTTCACTATTAAAATTTAATGCCATTTAATTTTTTTTTTCTCTCTCCCTAACAAAACAGAGAAAAAGCACACAACAAAGTGAAAGAGAGAAAGAAAATGTCATGGAAAACAGCAATTGAAGCAGGGAAAAATTGCCACAATGGCTCTTCAGCACGAGATTGTCGGGAAGAGATAGAAAGTGTGGTGAAATCAGAGAAAAATTGCCAGGAAATTGGTCCTTTTCATCACACAAAAACCATCCTCAATAGTCACAAGCGTGCTGGTATGTTTTTCCCACCAATGATATGACAGTGCTTTTGTGCCCATAAAATTGAGAAATCGTCAGTTAAGCAAGCAAATGTCGTAACAGCACTTTAACACCGTCAAAATTCACTATTCAGACTTGTTTTCACACAAAAAGGAACTTGAAATTTGTGCAATTTGAAGATTTTATGCACTTGAAGCTCCGCCCACTCATTTGCCCCGCCCCTAAAAATGCTAAACAGCCTCAATTCATAGTTATTTTAACAGAAAATTCAGTTTTTTCATTTCGATAATGAAATTTCACTCAAACGAACTGGCAATTTAGCCAACATTTTTTCTCAGCTTCATTGAAACTCTAGACGAAATTTTCACACTCATAAAGCGCATTTTGTCTCTCAAATAGAATTTTCCAGCACATTGGAAAAATTCTCACTTCATTCATATTTATTTTTTGGTTCTTTTTTGGTTGATCGTGAATTAAAACTGAACTAATTGAGATTTTTCTTTGCTGTTTTCACCAATTTAAAGCTGTTTCAATCATCTAAGCATATTTAGAAGAAATCTTTTCACGCTACACGTTCTTGAGATTCAAATTTGTCCAGAAAGCGTTTTCTAATGTGAATTCATGTGTAAAAATTGACCAAAAAAAAAAGATTTCTTCCTAACAACGATAATTATAAGACAATTGCTTATGAAACCAACTGAATTTCTGCCGAAATTCTCCACCTCTTCAGCCCTTCACAGTCAAGCCCAATATTTATTCGCATGACTTGACAAGAATTTTCACACCAATATTCCTCCGGGCGAAGAGAATTTCACCGACAAAAGGAGCATTTTCCTCTCTTTCACACCGTGATTTATCGATGAAGAAAGGCGTGAATGGAGAAAAAAATATATATATTGACACTCATGATTAAGTCATTGATGAGATACAATCTGACAAGACATTGATTTCATTAAAGCCATCGGAAGAGTGGGAAGAGAGAGAGAGATGTTTTGATTAGCCTAAAAGGGAAAGGCCAGAATTGTGAATGCCAATAAATTCATACATTTTACTCTTGTGGCCCTCAATTTGGGGTTTTCACCCTCAAAACACAGGGCAAAAGTCCCAAAAGATACTTGAAAGCATCCTCCAAATATCATCAATAGGATTGAAGGTTCAAATTCCATGTTTTATTACTATTGATCCTCTTCTGTCCCTTCACAATTTCGAACTATCCCGCCAATTTAGCCATATTAATTGACTAATAAAATCCTTCTACCACCCCCTCAAAAACACCAGACAACAGGGTTAAATTGGATTCTAAGCTGAACAACCCTTGGAAAATGAATTTTCAACGCACACACACATTTGGAGACACATTTTTGACGATTTCAGCAGAGAGAGAGAGAGAAAATTCAATCAGGAAGTTCAACTTCAGCATCAAAAATCCATCTGACCAATTCACCCCGAACAATTTCTCAACCCCCTCACTTGGAATTCTCTCTCTCTCTGGACATTCTCCACTGGCACCTTCACATCACCGACAGAGACACTTGAGATTGTAGGTGGCAAAAAACCCTCTCTGAACTCTTGTCACAAACATCTGTTCATCGAGAATACAGAAATTCCATGGCAATTTCCAATCCAAGAAAACACACACACATAATATAAATCTACAGCTAAGCAATTTCCCACCCAATTTTCGCTGGAAAAACAATCTTTTCCGCATTTTCAGTTAGAGAAAGAGTAAATACAAATGCTAAAGTTAGGGTGAAAATTCACCCCCCCTGAAATGCGTGGAAATGCGATAATATCACGACAATTGTCGGTTTTATGATTTACAGACACCCTGAAACTTTTCCATAAACTTCCAGCTGGGAAATGTGTAGAAACAGGACAAAAAAAGAGCCTCTCTCAGTGTGTCACCTTCAAGTCAGGAATCTTCCCAGCGGCAGTATAAATTCAAATTCCAATACAGAACAGCGAAGGAACTCAGGTGTGGCAAGAAATGGATAGTAGAGGGTGAAAAACACCCCCAAAACTCACACACACACACACACGGTGAATTTGTTGATAATGTGGCGCACAAAAACCCCTTTTTAGTCACACTCAAATGCACATTCAAACGCATGTTTGGGAAAGGATAGTTTCTGTGTACACACAGAGTTATTTTCAGACCATTAAAAATCGAAAACAGAAGCGATAAATTTTCATTATGCTCCCCATGAACCTTTCGTCATCTTTTTTTTTCCACGTCTGAACTTTTCGGTCTTTCACCACCACCCCCAAAAGTGCCAGAGACTCACCCATGGCGAGAGCATGTGTGTCGTCCCACCTCTAAGCGGCCGTCAACGCAAGAAAATGTGCTGTGTTGTGATCAGAGTTGCAAAGGAAGACGAAAGCCAGCGTAAAAACGTATCGAATTTGGAGAAATTATGAATTATTGCAGATTAGTGGGCGGAGCATACGAAAGGGCGTGGCTTCTGACATCAATTATTATTCTGAAAGGTGATTTAACAACCTATAACTCTCTAGAATATGTAGAGTTTGTTAGATGACTATTAATTCCACTTTAAAGTGAATTTTTAAGTAATATTACTTTTGAGAGACTTTTGTCGTAAAACTGAATAGATAAATTCATGGATTTTGACTATTTCTAAAAAATATGGCCTAACAAGTTAAAAATCATAGATTTCACCCTTGTAAAATCGATAACTTCCAATTTTAGCCATGAAGTGTGAAAAATCATGAATTTTAGCGCTTCCAACAATCAGATTTTGCACTGAAGCACTCAATTGTAAACTATATTGAACGTTTAAAGACATTCTAGCTCTAGATTTAAGCCTAGAACTATAAATTAAACTGGTTAAAGTGTAATTTTTCACATAGAACAGTCGTAAAAACGACTAAATAAATTCATTAGCATAATAAACATAATAAAATAATGGATTTTGACTATTTGACACTCATTCTTATGGCCAAATAATCAAGAAATAATTGATTTCACCCTTGTAAAATCGATAATTTCCGATTTTACGCTTCCAACAATCAGATTTTGCACTGAAGCACTCAATTGTAAACTATATTGAACGTTTAAAGACATTCTAGCTCTAGATTTAATCCTAGAACGATAATATAAACTGTTAACAGCATAATTTTTCACGTAAAACAGTCGTAAAAACGAATAAATAAATTCATTAGCATAATAATCATAATAAAATAATGGATTTTGACTATTTGACATGAATTCTTGTAGTCAAATAAGTCAAAAATCATAGATTTCACCCTTGTAAAATCGATATTTTACGATTTTACGCTTCCAACAGTCAGATTTTAAGGATAATAAAGACATTCTAGCCCTAGAACAATATATTGAACTGTTAGCAGTTCAATTTCCCCCTCAAATCGACAGCAAGAGTCATCAATCTAAGCGCCATTCAACTCTGGCTGCGTGAAAGCGAGCCGAGAGAGAAAGCGAGAAGCTTTTCCACCTACCTCTGCGCTTCGGTGTGCCCTCTCGAGATGGCGTCTTCCCATTTTCCAGCTCAGACTTGTCCCCATCTCGAGATCCGCTCCCAGCATCTGCGGATCCGCGATTCAGACTCGCCAGCGTCACCACGACTGCATCGCAGTGCGACGACAGATCCGTCTTGGCCTTCTGCAGACTCTCCATCGTGATTTTCACCTTCGGACAGGGATTCGCCTGCGATGCGATCTCAATGGCCAGCTTCAGGTCCTCCTGACGCTCCTGAATTGGCACAGGATGGAGAAACACAGACATTAATTCCACGCCCAATTCAGCAAGATTCTTTAAAGTGAAACTCAACGCAATTTATCACCTTTTCTTTTCTTATGGATTTTCTCTAAACAATTTTTACAAACACACTTCGAGTGAAGGATTTTTCTTCTTTTTTTTATTTGATCAAAGAGAAATATACTTCATGGGAAATTTTTTTTTTTTTTTGTTAAACAACCGCACAAAACGAATAAACAGTGATTAATGTCAAGAGAACAACGCGCACAATAACAGAAGAAAATTCTCAAGATTTTTTTCCTCTCTTTTGAGGCAAATTGACGAAACGTCTTCCGGCAAAATCACCAGCAAAACTGATGAAAAGTCAAATGCAACCTGTACTCAACGCCAAAATACTTCCAACAACACCACCAAAAATCGAAATAGAAACATTCTCACAGCGCCGCGCGGCTCAAGATGTACAAATGAGAGAATTTTCTTCGTGTTGATTGAAGGAAAAGCGCCTCTCGAGCGCTGAGTTGTGCTGAATTGTGACAAAAATTGGGTAAACATTGAAATTGAGTAAGAAATCAACACTTAAGTGAGTCTAAATGCACATTGAAAGTGAATTGATGAGTGAATCAGTGAAGCTTCAATTGCATTTCCTCTTGAAATAATATAATTTAATAGTTGTTGAGTGAAATTTATGATCCATACAGTGTTAAATTATAATGAGAAACACTAGAAAAATGGAAAACATTCAATTTCCTTTGGAAATTTCACCACATTCAATACACTTTTCAGACTTTTTCATCACTTTCTGGTCAATAAATTGCCCTGAAAATTCTCTACAACGTCATTAAAGCACATCTCTGTGATGGAAAATGTAGCAAAAGTCATCTAACTTTTCTTATTTTATCCACACAAACTCATCACACTTAAATATTGCCAGCGAGAGCAAGATGTGTGCCTTCAATCTCTATCAATGTGTGGAGAATTAGAAGCCAATTCTCTCCTGAGGAATTCCACACTTCTCTCGCGCGCGCGTTCGCCCAGTTTTCACGATAGATTTATTGAGAAGCACCAGAGAAACCGCGTTGTTTCTCTCCTCAAACCGCAAAGGAGTTTATAAATACCTTGCGATATGTTTGCAAACAATATTTAGCAGAAAAAAAACCATCAAATTGCGTGCAGTTTCACTTTCTCATCATGTTTTTTTGGGACCGCATTATTTTCCCATAAGAAATCACAATCATGTTTTGATGCATTTTGTATACAAACCGAATGTGTGGCTAAAAATACAACCCAAAGAGCGTCAGTTATGCAGCAGAAAGACACACAAACACCATGTTAATTGCAAGATTAACTTCCGCATAATTCACGCGGCCAAAAATAGACGCTGGAAAAGACTTTTTTTCAACTCACTCTTATATCCAGAATCCTCTTTGACAGCTCATCAGCTGAGGAATCATTCAGAGGCTTCTCAATCAAATCCTGCGTTCTCTTCAGCACTTTGTTGACAATATCCTCGATCTCCGTGAGATCCTTGCTCAGCTGACGCTGTCTGGCCGTCTCTGAACTCACCAACTCCGCCGACATCTTCCTGCTCTTCTCCTCGCCATCAGCGCTCGAAGACAGCTTCGCCATTCTGCAGAGAAAAAGAGAGCAAAAGTCAATTGAGAAACTCATTCTCAGTCACACAAGTGATGTTTTAGAGCTTTTCAGGTTGATTTTATACGATAAAACACCGAAAATTCGCAGTGAGAAGTTCAATTCTGAGTTAAAATCATTCTTTTCTGTCTATTTATCACCCAAACAAGAAGACTTTTGTGTATAAAACAATTATTTTGAAGCTTTTAATGGCTGTGTTGAGTTTCTAAACCAATTCTTATGACTTTTTCACGATGTTTGGTGTTTTAAAAGCAATTTATCTAACAATTTCTATACAATTAAGACATTTTATTCGCGTTTTTTGCATATTGTAAGCTATTTAAAATATCAAAATGCTCCTTTTCTGTTATTTCTGTTACTTTCCTTCACTAAATGTCTGTTTAAAAATGATTATTTAGGCAAAACACAGCGAGAAATACTGATTTTATGACAAATCCAGTCGTTTTAGCAGAAAAACTGAGCTTCTTTTCGCAAATAAGGGAATTTTCGGTGCTCTTTTAGGGTATTTGAGCCAATTCTAGCGCTCAAATTCATGCTTGTCATGATTTGAGGCATTTCAACCGCACAAATGAATTCATTCTTCTCAGTCCAAAGCGACTCGAAGCACGTGAATTGACACACTTGAATCTGCTGAGAATTCCACCCCATCAAATCCACCTACTTCGCATGCTGCACTTCGCGGAATTTCTCCCTCAGCTGTCCCTGAGTCGCCATGACGCGCTGCGACAAGTCGCCAATCTTGCCGTGCGTCTCCAGCACGAGATTGTCACCCTGGGAGATGAGCGTGGCGGCGTCCGGAGCAATGAGATGCTTGAGATGCTCCACAGCGCCAAAGCCGTCGTCGCAGCGCTCAATCTCCTGCCTTGTCGCCTCCAATTTGCGCACCATGTACTTCGCCGTCTTCTCGAATTCGCCCACGCGCTGCTCCAGACTCCCCTCGTCGCCCGTCGGCACCTTGTTGGCCTTCGTGGCCGGCTTCAGGATCTTCGGCGTCTCGATGCGACCCTGAAATTCGCACCAGACAAACATGTGCAGAAGCTGTGGAGTAATTTAGCCGTTGCCAAATGAAGCAAAACACCGAGAATCATGCTGAAGAAAAATCCCTAGAATTCAACTTTTTCCCTTCATTGTCAGCAATTCTAATTGATTTCCTTCAATGGCAATAAAAATACTATCAAAATTGCAGTTTTGTGACTAATCAAAACGTCTTCAAGACGACGAAAAGTACCAAAAATCCACTCTAAGAACTAATTTTACAATTTTCAGTGATAAAACAACTCTTAATTGTACCCGAAAGCTTCAAAAGGCAGCGTAAAAACGTATAGAATTTACAATAATTGACGATAATTTGGAGAAATAAGGAATTATTACAAATTGATGGGCGGAGCATCCGAGTGGGCGTGGCTTCTGACTTTATTTATCACTGTGGCGATAAAAACGAATGTAAAACACCCGAATTTGAAGCAGTCACAGTGACAAAAAGGACTTTTAGAAGAGGAAAAGCATTTATCAAATTGTCATTGTAACGTTGAAAATGCGTTGAATATTTTCAAAAACCATGCAATACAGTTTTGTGACTAATCAAAACGTCTTCAAGACGACGAAAAGTACCAAAAATCAACTCTAAGAATCAGTTTTACAATTTCCAGTGATAAAATAACTCTTAATTGAATCCGGAAGCTTCAGAATTCAGCACAATTATGCTTTACTTCATCGACAACAACACATAATTGCTGTTCAAATTGGCGTTAATGAGTTTCACAGCATCGAATAGATGAGAAATGATGAGAAAAAGGCAAGAAAACGTGATTTTTCTGAGGGGAGGAAATGAGAGTCAAAGAGTGAAAGAAGAACACAATTCAAATTTATCTACCGTGTCGCTGTCAGAATCATTGGCTGGCGCCATTTCTTTGGAAAAGCGCGGAATGTCTTCGTCGTCGGAAAACACCAGCGGCTCATCGAAGTTCTCCTTGTCCGACGCATAGAAACTATCTCTCTCCGGCTGACTGAGAATCTCCCTGAGATTCGGACGGATTTTCCTCGGCGGCTTCCTCACTTCCATCTCCGAATCCCTGAGAATGTCCCGCTCCTTGTCCTCCACGCGCTTCTCCTCAAACGAAATCCTCTGCTTCTCAATGCGAATCACCTCGCGCTCAATGTCACTCGTGTTGTAATTCTCCAGCTCGCGCTCCAATTCGTCCAGACAACTCAAATTCCCGCGACTTCGTTCGCGCAATTGCGGCGTCGAGCAACTGTCCGTGTCCGAAGTGTCCTCAGAAGCGTCCACAATGTTCACCGTCTCCACGAATTCCGGCTCAAACACATCCACGCTCTCCAGCACAATCTGCCCGACCTTCGGCCGCGGCGCCTCGTCCTCCTCCTCCTCCTCCAGGGACAAATGGACATTCTTCACCGTCATCTTTGGCGTCGTGTTCGTCTCCCGAATCGCCACCACGGAGAATTCATCCTCGCGCTTCTCGTCGCTCAGCAGACGCTCGTCGCTGCCCTTCTGCGAGATGTGCGAGAACAGCGCACTCGTCTCGGCCAGATGGAACGTCTTGGGCAGCAGATCCGGCATCACGCTCGCCTGCACGTCCGCCAGCTGAATCTCCGCGCTGTCCACATTCGAGCTCGGCGTCCGCGCGCGCCGCTGCCGCACCGTGTCGCTCACCACGACAATTTCCGTCTCCTCCTCCGCCGCGGCGCCACTCCGCCGCGCCTCCACGGCCTCCTGTGTACGTTTAACAGCAATTATTTCAACAAATCACCGACCTGCGATCGCGCTCGCATACAGAGACAGTCGACAACACTACACAGAACCACGTTAAACATGGAAAACAGGTCAGCTGAACGACAACAAGATGATTTTATACAAGAGGATAAGAAAGGATTGCATGGCAATTGTTGTTTGGTCATATTAAGAATGTATTTTATTGTCTTTAAGCTTGAAATTTCAATTAAAATCATAAGTTTGTGGCATTTCTAGACTAGAAATCATCTTTGAAAGGCTATTTTAACTCTTAATCTTATAGATAGAAAGCAAAAAGGATTTTAACATGAATTTTAAAACATTTTAAGAGCGATAATATACACAATATTTCAGTAAAATACCTAATATAGGAGTCGTTGCAACTTTACTTTCATAAAATTTCAAATAAGCTGTCAAAAATTGAATTTGCTAAAAGGTGTTGCAAGATTACGATTTATATTATTAAGCATTATGTTTTTTATGTACAAAAACACATTTTTAAAGGAATTTTCTAGCCATTTGTGCACATTTCAACGCACCAAATTGAGGTTAAGTGTTTCCGGACATCCTTCGATCCTTGATTTCATATCAAATAAACTCCAAACTTCGCCTTGCAACGCATTATCGTTCGTATTTCAGTTGTACTTCACACTAGCGCCACCAAACGACCGTTAATTTAAGCTGTGAAAAGTTTAAAGTTGCAACACAAATTCATAGCTTTTACGAACGGAAATATGAAATTCACAATGTTGCAACGGCCAAATAAATAAATTGTGATCAAAACTAAGTTTTAAGAGCGTCAAAGACTGATTTATGACCAACAATTAAATTGACATGCTTAAAATACAATTCAAACTGTCAGACATTTGATCATTTAGCGACAATAAAACAGAAATTTCTACCAAAATCTACAGAAAATCATCAAATTACAAAATCTGAGATTGCGCAAATAATTCAGTGAAATGATCAAAAGAGTCGACAGGAAGGAGGGACACATTAAGGAGATGAGGGAGGAATTAGTTTGCTCGGCCACCAGAAGCAGAGATTTTTAGGGACAAACAGCACAACACAGAATCCAATTGCTTTCCTCCACTTTCTATTCTTCCTTCCAGTGTGAATCCGGGAAGAACCAAATCCTGCACCAAACACACACACAACAATTAGAGACACAAGAGAGAAAATCATGAGATTCTGACCAGCGAGACACTCTGTCTCACTTCCACACGCAAATGTGATGTTATTTGAATTGTGTTTCCCACTCTTCGCCTTCCTTAGCGCATTCCTTATCAATTGGATTAAGACATTGAACGCTTCTTCATCTTCTTCTTTTCTGTCCTTGAAGAAAGAAGAGACACACAAGGAAAAGAAAAGGAATAGAAATTGTCATGCAACAGAGGAAAAACAGGAACATTTTTGACTAAAACAAATTGCTCAAAGCTGAGGATGAAAGCAGGATGAATTGTTTGACAAGAAGAGAATAAAAAAAGGGGGAGAAGAATAAATTGAGCGCTAAAAGCGACAATGAAGACGTGAGTCAATAAAAAATTGCATTAAATACCTGAACAATTTGCTTCACGTGAGAATGTTGTCTCTTCACTTCGTCGCTCTTCAGCGTCATTTTCTCCAAATCCTGCGCCATTGTTCTGCAGAAACAGAGAGAAAATCAAATTTCAGAGTGATTTTCCTCAATCGCTTGCCATCCATTTCATCTAGCTGAGATTTACATCACAGCGAATGCCGAAATATGACGAAAATGGGGGAGGGGGTCACTTTTTTTCACGTCCATCCGTCCGTTCGTTCGTCGTGACAAACGAGTTTGTTGCGCCTAAACGGTAAGAGATGTCGACATGCGGTTTGTGGCAAAGGTTAAAAGTATGCAGTACAAACCGCCCAACCCTCCGTCCGCCATTTTGAACACCCCCAAAAGACACTTTCCTCATTTGTTCAGCCCCTATGGCATGAATCGGGCTCAAATTCTGGTATGTTATAGCTGACCTCAAGACCTTTCCAACGAACCGCCACATAAGAACCTAGGACCTTCCGAACCCTGGATTTTAATGGTGAAAACACAGCATTTTGCTCATACCATCTCGGCTCGATCCCGTCAGATTCCCTTCAGAATTTTGGTCTGCAGATCAACTTTTGGCGCCTTTACACAATCCGATTTTCTCCACAATTATGGCTCATTATGGACGGAATCAATTAATTTTTGAGTTTTTTTCCACACTTAAATTCATTTCCTTGACGATTTTCTCGATTTTCCATATGAAATTGGTCTATTTTGACCATTTTGACAGCAAGCGCATTGTCAGACACGTCAAAGTCAAATTCAGCGCGGGTTGCCCAACGTAAAATCTGCAGCCACACACTCGACATAAAAATGTCGTGAGCAGGAAGGAAAATACACGATTCGCGTGGGGAAGAAAGAGATGAACTAAAACAATTGTCCAATGACAAAAGCTGTGTTTTCACCATAAGAACCAAATTTTGAAAACTTAAATGACCATAACTCCACTTCTAATTAACCAATCGGAATGATTTTATAATAATTGGAAAGGTCTTGTAAAATGCTATCTCTCACCGGAACACTATAACTTGTTAGAACCACCGCTAGAAGTGCTAAAGTCGAAAAAACCCATCTTCAAAATTTTGAAATCAAATAACTCGAAAACGAAACCATGCAATTTCTTTAAATTCTAGTATGTTTTAGTCCAGATCAGGACGTATTTAAAAATAGGTTTCAGTTTTTTGAGGATGCAATAAAACCGGAGTTATGACGGTTTAAGGTTTTAATTTTTAATACGCTGTAACTTCGGTTCTATTTATCCGATTTTAATCATTTAGGGCTCGTTGGAAAGCTCTTGCAAAACTCTAAAACCATTTAGAACAACAGAAATTCATCAGACCACCGTTAGAGGCGCTAATGTCAATCACAATATTTTTGAAATCTTTGATTCAAAAATTTATTCCAAAGTCACTTTAATTTGAGATAATTTCTTTAGTATTTCGATAGTCCAGATCGAGTCGTATCCAAAATGGGGTCGAAATGTTCTGCCAAAGACATAGAAGCTGAGTTATGGCGTTTTGAAATGTTTCTATTGAAACAGGGTCAAGTTGGCGGCGCCCAGCGGACCATAAGCGTTCGCTTGTCACGTCCTTAACTATGATTGATTGAAAAACTCACTTGAGAGACTCAGCAGAAATATTGTCCATATTTTGAAGAGTCATCGTCATCTCGCTGAGCACTTTCATCTCATCAACTTCGCCCATGTTGAGCTGATTGAATCTCACTGCCAGATTATCAATTCGATCGCGCACATCCTCCAAATACACCGCCTCGCAGATTTCCGTGTACTCTTCCAGCACTTCTCGGCATCTCGCCAGCGCCGCCTCGGCCTCGTCCTTCTCCTCCTCCGCCGGCGGCTTGCCACCATCCGCCGCCTTGCGCACCTGCGTGAGAAACAGCTCCACAATCCGCAGATTCTCACTCAACTCCTTGGCCAGCTTCAGCAGAATCTCCAGCTGTTTCTTCGACTCCGTCACATTTTCCCCCAAAGCATTGTACAAATGCTTCAGCGCGTCAATTCGCTGCGACAACTTCTTGGGATTCTTCGTCATCGGATCCTCACAGATCTTCCTGCCCGTCTTAATCACATTCTCCGTCTCCGCCTTCACCTCCGACAGCACTCTGTACATCTTCAAGCAATGCTGCAACTGATCCTCAACATTGTTCGGACTCGCCGACGAAACGTCCAACACAACTGAACTCCTCTCGACATTCCTCAACTCGCCCATGGCGCGATTCAGGCGCGACTCGAAGCCCGACTGAGGCGACGTGAACTTCTCCAACTTCTGACGACACATCTGAAAGCGATCCTCCAGCAAATCCACCTGCTCCTGAAGCCTCTTCGACGCCTCCACTTTGTTGCTCTTCTGGTAAATCGTCACCTGCTCCTTCATCTCCTCCAGCGCCTTCTCGTTGTTCTGGAACTCCTCAATCAGGCGCTGAAAGACATTCAATCGTCACAAAATAGAGCAAAAAAACACCCCCAAAAGAAGTGAAGAAATGTCTTGAGTTGACAAATTGATGGAAAACTCAAATTCAATACAGAAATTGAGTTTTTGACTCTGAAAATCAACTTTTCTAGCAAGTTTTGACAAAAATATCACACAAGAAGTGAATTATTATGCAATTCAGAGTCTTGAAAATCGACATTTTTGTGTATAAAATTGTGAATTAACATGAAAATTTATTTAAATCATCGAAAAAACATTGCAAAAATATCAGCAAAAAGGCTTTAAAGCAGTGAAAATTTGATCATAATTGAGAAAATAAATTTAAACACTAAAAAAATCACATTTAAAAAGCTTTAAAACAGTGAAAATTTGATCATAATTGAGAAAATAAATTTAAACACTAAAAAAATCTCAACAGAAAAACTTTAAAACAGTGAAAATTTGATCATAATTGAGAAAATAAATTTAAACACTAAAAAAATCACATTTAAAAAGCTTTAAAACAGTGAAAATTTGATCATAATTGAGAAAATAAATTTAAATCATTGAGAAAATCTCATCAAAAACGCTTGAAAACAGAGAAAATTTCATCATAATTGAGAAAATTAATTTAAACATTGAAAAAATCTCAGCAAAAAAGCTTTAAAACAGTGAAAATTTGATTATAATTGAGAAAATATGCAATTTTATGTCTCAAACTGACTGAAAATGGTTAATTTTCTCATTTAAAACCTCTTAAATTCCATTTATTTCAACGATTAAATGCATTTAACGCTGCAATTCAACTTAAACCATGAGAATCTTATTAAAAACCTTAGAATTTCTCTCCATTTGAGCTGCAAAATTGTCAAAACTCCTGAATATTGATGTAAAATCATCACTCAATCGTCATTTATTCACTCCTCTTAATTCGAATCTCGCAATTTTCCCAGGATTAATCCGTGCAGGGAATTCGTGTGAAAGCCTTTTGAACATTTTCCGTGCGTTAGTTGGGAAAAACACGAAATCTAACCTGGAAATCATGCGGCAAATCCTCCATCGTGATGTCATTCTCAATGTGTTCCGTCAAGATTTCGTCAACTTTGAATATCCAAAGTTGCAAATTCGAAACTCGACCTTCGCTCGTTTGCGCCTCATTCACCGCCTGTTCCAGCATCTTGCCGCGCTGTTCCGCCTGCAAAAGGACGATCACAAAAGATAGTGTCGCGCATGCAAATGTCGCCAGCGGAAATCATGCAAACAGAGAAAAATGTGATGCGAAATTGCAAAGAGCCAAAAAGATTTCCCCCAAAATTCTTCACCTGATGTTGCAGCAAATTCCAACGCTCGACAACTTGATGGACTTCATCTGTGATCGCCTGAGCCATGAATTGCAGCTCAACCAGCTCATTTCCGATCTCCTGAATCTTCTCCAGACGCTCGTCCGGATGATTTCTGATGGAATTCTCGAGATCCTGCAGAGAAAAGGGCAAAATAGTGAAGTTATTTGCATGAAATTTTGTATTTTGAGGCAAAACATTGAGAAAATTGTGAATTTTGCGCTTAAAAATTATGATTTTACAACAAAAAATATCTTTCTTCTGATGTTTTAAAGCAATTTGTTCACTTTCTTAGACAGAAAATCATTATTTTAATCATTTCTGTCCTCAAAAATTGTCACAATTTCTCAGTTTCTTGAAATTTCATGTGTTTTTACTCTGAAATAATATATTAGATCACAAAGAGTCGCATTTTAATAAATTATGTGCATGAAAAGACGATTTTCTCGAAAATTCTTCCCCAATTTTGAACTTTAATCATAATTTGTGCATTTTTTCAGTCAAATTTGCTTAAAGAATTCCTAAAATCGTAATTTTTTCACTTCTTTGATGTGTTTTTCCTTTGATTTCAATGAGATTTACTCAAAATAATACTAAAAATTATGCAAAATTATCTATTTTCTATCATAAAAAGGCACATTTTGATAAATAAAGTGCTTTAAAAGATGATTTTCTTGGAGAATTTTGAAGAAATTGCTTAAAGAATTCCTAAAATCGTCATTTTTTCACCTCTTTGATGTGTTTTTCCTTTGATTTCAATGAGATTTACTCAAAATAATACTAAAAATTATGCAAAATTATCTATTTTCTATCATAAAAAGGCACATTTTGATAAATAAAGTGCTTTAAAAGATGATTTTCTTGGAGAATTTTGAAGAAATTGCTTAAAGAATTCCTAAAATCGTCATTTTTTCACTTCTTTGATGTGTTTTTCCTTTGATTTCAATGAGATTTAGTTAAAATAATACTAAAAATTATGCAAAATTAGCTATTTTTTATCACAAAAAGGCACATTTTGATCATTTAAGTACTTTAAAAGACGATTTTCTTGGAGAATTTTGAAGGAAATTCATAAAATCGTGCCAAATTTACTCACATCCAATTCCTCTGAGATTTCCTCGGCGTCCGCCGCACTTTCCGGACTCTTCCTCAGCAGCTTCTCCACCTTGTCCAGATATCCGTGCTCCTGCACGATGAGCGTCTTGAAGTCGCCCAGCTGACTGGAAATGTGCTCCAGCAGCGCCGTCCTTGTGTAGACCAGCGAAGTGACTTCATTCCAGCGCGCATTCAACTTGGTGAACTTCTTGGCGAGATAGGAAACCTTGCTGTCCGTCTTTTGCTGCACCAAATCGTCCACTTGAATGAGAATCTCATTGCCAGCCTCAATCAATTCGCGAAACTTCACCGTCTCCTGTTCGCACGTCTCCTTGAGACTCTGGAACTTGAGCTTGATCTGGAAGAGTTCGTTGGAATTGCCAATTTCGCAATTTTCATTCTTCGGCGTGTTCATTTGCAGATCATTCAGCCAGAATTCCATGTCCTTCACGCGTGTCACGACGTTTTCCGTCTGCGATGCCGTTTGATTGAGTTTGCGCGAATTGGCGTGAAAGAGATCGATGAGTTGAGCATATTTCTCATTCAAATGCTGAATTTGCTGCGCCATTTCATCCGCATGTGGCTTTTCACTCGACTTCACGATGATCTCACTGAAATTCTTCACGCTAATAATGTCAATTTCCATCTTCTTAATCTCAATTGCGTGCACTTCGTACTCTTCGCCCTTCTTCTTCAGCATCTTGTGCTCACCGACAATGAAAACATCCTCGCGCAGCACACTCTCGATCTTCTCCATCTGACGCAGAATGTTGTCCATCTCGCGCCGGAAGTGATTGTGATTCTCAATCGCTGTATTCTGCTTGATGATCTTCTCATTCACGCAACTCGGGATCTTCTTCCACGCTTCTGAGAGACTGGAAGCCTCCTCGGGATCAGCATTCTCGCAGAAATACTCAAACAACTCGTGCATCTCCTCAAACTTTCCCAGCAATTCATTGAGTCTCTTCAGATTCTCCGCCATGATTTGTGGATTGTCATTCAAGGCATTCACAGCTTCAGCAGCCACAATTAACGCCTGGAGTTTCTCCCTTTCCTCCGACAAATCCTCTCTGCCGCCCATTTCCTGGACAAGTCTCTGAATCGCCCGCTTCAAATCCGACCAACTCTCGCTGAACTGATCAAATTCCACTTTCCACTCCTTCAGCGCGCCCGTGCTGAGCATCTTCGCCTCACTAATCTCCGGATTCAGCGACTCCATGTCACTCAAGCGTGTCTCCAACTCTTCCCGGGAAGCACTGCTCGCGTGCTGCTTGAACCAATCCCTCGAATCCGCCAGCACGAGCTTCAATCCCGTCAGGATCTTGTGATACTTCTCCCGATTCACATCACTCTTCACCTGCCCCGTCAAATCCTCCAATCTGAACACAAATTCATCATACTTTGAGCCAATTTCCAGCAACTTTTGCTCCTCCAACTCCAAATCCACCACAGACATTTCGACTTTGCACATGTCTAGCAACTCCTTCACCTCCGCATACTGTTCAATCTTCATCTTCAGCTCCTCATCGAGATTGTTGAGGAAACTCTGACGCCTGTTGAGCTGCATTCCCTCGAGGAATTGCGTGCTGTCTTCAAATTGATCAATAAAATGCAGCATTTCAATCAACTTTCCCTCCAATTCCATCACTCTCTCCGTCTTGTTCAAGCGTCGCTTCTTCTTCGACTGCGGCGAATCGTCAGCCTCCTCGAGCTTCTTCACCTCCTCCTCCTGCGTGTCCACCTTCATCTCCTCCTCATGCATCATGATCATCTCCTGGAAATCCTCCCAATTCGACGGCTTCTCAATCACCTCATTGGAGTGAATGGGAAATTGAAAGCCCATGCTTTCGATGCGCATCTGCTGAACGTCCAGAATCTGCTTCAGCGCCTCCGAGCGATCCGTGAGATTCTCCAGATTCTCCACAATATCCGCATTCAGAGCATTCGCCACAACTTCCAACTCCTGCAAATGCTTCCCAAACACCTGCAAATCCTTCTCACCATAGCGCAACTCCTTCATTCGCATCACAACGCCACCAATCTCCGTCACTTCTCTGCCCTCCATCGCCTTCAAATCCGCCTCCCGGGCGTCCATCCAGCGTATGAGGATCCTGTAGTTGTCCGTCAACTTCACCCACTTGTTGCTCAACTCCTGCAACTTCTCCCAACGCGTCGACGTCCACTTCAGCACGTGCGACCATCGCTCGCCCAGCGCCGCCAGCTTGTCCTCCAGATCACTGGCATTCTCCGGCTCATCCTCCACAATCACCACCAGATTGCTCAGACTGTCCACCAGCTTCTGCTGCTCCTCCAGATCGCGCTGGAAGCGCTTGTGCTCCTCAAACTGCACCTTCAGCTCCTCCTGACTCATGCCCACATCCCTGAAGCGCGATATCCTGTCCTCCGTGTTGGTGAGAAACACCCTCAACTCCTCAATCTTGCGCGCCTGCAAATCCGTCAGCTGATCGTGAATCTTCCCCTGAACAAACTCCGCACGATCACGCAACGCATTCCATCGCTTATTCAGCAGTCGCATTTGCTGACGCACTTCTTCCTGCTCCTCCGGCGTCAATCCCTTGGCGCCCAACGCCTGCGAATCCGTGATGAGACGTGCGCCCTCCTCCAGTGCCGCTCCCACGAAGTTCTGCTGCACCGACAGCTTCTTCATGAACTCCTGATACTCGAGAAATTGCCGTCGCGCCTCCGGCAAGTCATCAGCACTCTGCAGATCCTTCGTCAGCACCTCCTCAGCCTCCAGCAGCACCGTCAACACCTCCTCCACGGCACTCTGATACGTCCCAATGTCAATTGACGCATTTGTGGCCGTGGAAACCGGTCTCGATCGCACTTCCGGCGGCCTTTCCTCCTCAATCTTCACCTCTTGCGACACACCAGAACTCAAACTCTCCGTGACAATCCGCTTAACACTCACACTCGGCATCTTGCTGAGATCATCAGCACTCTTTGCCAGCGAAATCTCATCCAATGCCGTCAAATTGCCCACATGAATCGCCGGCTGTTCATCCTGCACAACACTCTGACACTCCACAAAATGCTCCACAACTTGCGTCTCATCCAGCAACTGAATCTCATCCATGCTCTCACTCTGCTGCACCAACAAACTCTGACTCTCCATCGCCTCTTGGCTGCTCAACTGCTGTAGATTCTCAATGGCATGATATAAATACATCACATACATGAGAATCGACTTCTTGTCCGGCTTATTTGTGTTCACATCTTCAGGATCCAAGAGCTGATCGATGTTCAAGTATCGACTGGCCAAATCGAACGCCATGCGCAGCCTGAGAAGACACACATTTAGGCATTTTTTGACTGTAAACAGAGACAAAACACTAACCTTGCCATTGGATGCTGCCTCACAGATCGCTCAAGATCGAATTTCGGCACGTGCTCGTGCAGAATGTAGAGAAACGCTCGTCCATCTGACCAACTGCCCGAGAAATCGCCGATCTTCAGGCCGTGCGGTTCTGTATAGCGTCGTGCCCAGAGCAGCAAACTCTTCTCAATGCCACTCACGCCCTGCGAATTCACCAACTTCTGCCCATCGAAGCTCAGCGCAATGGCCCAAATCAAGCCCAGCGTCAGCTTGGCACTGCCCGCCACGATGTCATCACTGGAGATGTTCACCAGCTTCACGCCGCTGCGCTGCAACACCGTGAGCGCCGTGTTGATGTTGTTGATGTGATGCACTCGCATGCGGCCCTTCTCGCGCCTCAGCCGCTCGCCGGTCAGCACCTCGAGCAGCGCCAGCAGCCGATGCCCGTCGCGCAGGTCCACGAACAGGTCCGCCACCGGCGAGCACGTCGTCTGCCGGCGGAAGAGACGACGTGAGGCCATCGAAAGAGGGGCGAATAAGTGTCTTTCGGCAGTGAAAAACTCCACTTTTTATCGTTATTGTGATTTGATTGCAAAATTTCCTCCAAAAACCCTTGATTTTCCGTCAGAATCCATTAAGAAACGTCGTTTCTTACGACAAACGTGTAAATAATCTTTGAAATATTCATATTTTGATCTTTTTTGAGCTTATTATTGAGCTAAAAAAATTAATATCACTTTGAGAAGCCAAAAATTGTATAATTAAAGGAATTATTCGGGAAAATCGTCTGAAAACATCATAAAATTTCCTTCAAAAAGCAAAATTTCTAAATATTTTAAGTGAAAGTGTTTAAAAACATCTTGTTTTAATAGAATTCTGTGTGTTTCTTTGAGATTCTCTTCTAAAATACTGACCAAAATGAATGCAAAATTCATTCTGCGACTAAGAATAATAAAGAAATTGCTAAAATCACATTGAAAAACCGTGAGAAATGTGATGAAAAGCTATCAAAAACACATTTCAAAGCATTAAATGTCACTCAATTGGTTGAATTACAATTAAATTCAATTTATTCTGACTCTATTGAATTCAATTTATCTCTCAAAAATTGATTTACTGATCAGAATTTTAAACATTTCCACCGATCAGCGCTGAAATGAGCCACAATCGAGACACTTATTCACCCCTCAGCATTTGATATTCATCGCACAGATCATCAAAAGCCACAATCTTGCATCATTTCCCATCTTTCACAGCGCCTCGCCATTCGCGTCACTTCAGGCGCTCCGCTAATTGACGGATTGTGGAGCGCGAGGGTGCAAAAGGTCACAAATTAAAGCATCTTAGAATACCTTGGACAAGTGCGCATTAATCCACTTTGTGAACGTCTTCTTCTGAACATCTTGGCGCTCATCTGGAAAAGACAGAAGAAAGACAGAGTTTTGGAATATTTGCACATATTTATTCAAAACCCAATGCAAACAATTACATAAAAGCGCGCAAATGGTCAGTGAAAAACGAGCATTTTTGTCACACATTTCCATTATCGCACAAGTAAAAATTTCACAATAGACATTTTTTTTTTCTTTTCGTTCAATTAAAACTCTTAATTGGAGAGACTTTGTTTAATTATCAATTCAAAATAATAATAATTCATTATTATTATTTTGAATTGATGATGCAAAATGTGATGAGAAATGTGAATTTTCTCCATTAACTTTTTCAACCTTGTTGTCAGCGCATTTAATCTCTGGTTATAATGAAGAAATACAACCATTCATTCATCAATTCTTTTCACACTCCGCGACGCGAGTAATTGTCTCTTCGCACCATTATTATTACGTTCTCTTCAATGCGTGTCATCTTATAAAATGCACGTATTTATGGCTGACAAATTCACACTGTCACTTTTTATCTCTTTTTTCTTTTGCTCAAAACTGAAAGTCGCCGAAGAATGTTTCATTCCAGATGTCTTTCAAAGCATTTTCCCAATGAGAATTGTTAAGAAAACTGTTGTGAATTGAAGATTCACACCTAAAATCTTGATATCCGGGATGCAAACCACATTTCAAGATTTCTTGAAATTGATTTTGAGCGAGAATTTGCTTTGAATCGATACAAATATGATCAACTAATAGTTATTTTTCAATAAGAATCATAAGGAAAACTAAAAAGACTTTAAGATCTTGATATCCGGGATGCAAACCACATTTCAAGATTTCTTGATATTTCAGGATTATTTTAAGTGTGCCCTAAATATGCCATTTTTGAACGATAATTTACTCTCAATTGTTGTAAAAATAATCATTTAGAGCACAAATAGTAGAAAAAAACTTTTTGATTTCTAGAATATCAAGTCTTGATCTTAAACATAAGTTAGAAATTTTAATTTCTGCTATGAAACAATCTTAATTAAGCTCAAAAACATGACATCATATCGACTTTACTCTGCTAAACGGATATCAAATTAAAAATAAACTATTATAATAAATGAAGGCTTGTCAAACTTCCCAAAACGCCACTTAAGTCTTCCAATATTTAGCACCAATTAGCTTCAAATTAGTTCAAAGCACCCGAAATCGAGGCACTAATTTAAGCCCCGCCCACTCAAATGCTCCGCCTTTGAGCTAATTCTTTCCGCTTTGAGGAGAAAATAATAAATTCAGTCATCGCGATAAGACAGGTGAATTTTTATCTCCTTGTGTTCCAACACAAAGTGTCTGTGTATATAAAACGATAAACGCCACTTTTCGGTCGACAATCTCGTCAGACATCAATGTTCCTAAATGTGTTCACAATCTCTGGTGGTTTGAAATAAATTTCTCCGGCATGAAAAGCATAAATTGATAGCAAAAATCCATTTAAGAACAAGTCAACGACAAATGATTCATTGATGAGTCTTTGCTTTCTTTCTCTTTCATTGGCAATTGACTTTTCATCTTCTCTCTCTTTCTCTCTCTTTCCTTCCCTCCAAATTGTTCTTCAACTCAATGTTCGCGCGCGCGTCGCAAAGTAATTAAAATCAATTTGATGGCTCAAGTTCGATGACAAAAAGAGTTCAATGAACTCTCATCTGAACGCGCTTCTCTCTGACTTCCCTAAATATATTTTTTTTTTCTCTCTCTCTTTTTATCAGAACACTAGATGGAAAAAACGCAATTGGTTAAAGACAAAATTGATGTCAGAACAGTTTGAAATAAATTAGAATCGTGACAATTTTACACCCATTTTGGCCCTTTTCTCTCTCTCTCATTCTTCCTCCCTTTCGAAAATATTTTCCCACTTTCCTTCCTTCACATTCTCTCATCATTCACAATTAATCTCAATTGCATGTTACCCATCGGAAATGTGGGAGCCTTTGGCGAGATTAGACGCTCTTTGCTGCTACAAGAAATCAATGGGGGACTTTTCAAACTCTCAGGCTCTATTTTTACCCTCAAAACAGTGAAGTTGAAGCACGACATAAAAGCCAATCCTGTGTGTGAAGCCACAGAACATTTCACGCACGCATTATCTTCATGTCATTTTGGATAAAGTGCATTGATGATAGAATGTGAATAGCGATTAACACCCAATCAGAGAGGATCATAAATCGATCTCACTCTTTCTCTCTGTGTGTTTTAAACCACTTTGTGGCGAAGCGCGAAACCCAATCGCGCACAAAGAACTGGACAATCCGCATTCGCGCCCAGGAATATCAATCGCATGTCAAGAAGAAGAAGTTCGCGCTCTTCGGGGGAGAGAAGAGAATCATTCAGCACAACTTCATCAGGGCATATCAAATAGAAAGTTGTCAATTTATGCGACATAAATCTTCGGCGTATGCCTCAATGGCGTGCGATTAAAGAGCAGCAAAGAGCAGCAAAGAGAGGCAGAGCGAGAGGAGAGTAATTGGCGTATTTCGATGACCATTCATGCAAATTCCACTGCAGCTGAACAATTTGCCACTCAACATTCAATTATGCTGAACAATATTGGACAACATTTCGCAGCATGATTGTGGGAAAAAAATGTCACAGACAAAAATTGCCGAAATTCCATTCAACACACAATCTCAGAAGCTTATCTTATCACCACGCAGAGGAATTCCTCTCTTTTCTTCTAGAGCATCTTCTCTGATAAAGACGCCAAGCATTTTACTGCCGAAATCTGCTTCATTTCTATCGACTGAAGGCTATTCTGGGCGGAGCTAAGAAGTGGGCGGGGCTTAAAAGAATTTGACTGTAATTCTAGTTTGGATAAAATGTACTCAAAAACTATTAAAAAAAAGACTTTAGAACGAATATTTTACAATTTATCTACTTTTTTTTATATTCTCAGTCAAAAAATCCATTAAATACCAATAAAATTAACTGAAACATTCACAAAACTAGAAAAAAATACTATAATAGACCAATATTAATACTTTAATGAACGATTTAGAAGCTGTTTGAGGTCAATTTGGCAGTTTTCACAGCGATATTCCCACATAATTTCCTACTTTTCCTCCTTAAAACTTGTAATTTTGACTTTTCCTAGTTTACGCAACACTTTTTTTGTAAGAAAATCATCCCAAACTGCAATCATTTGCATAAAAACATCTCTTTAATGTATGAAAACTTGATTTTTATTACTTGTTTAGATAAAATGTATTAAAAATCGACTTTGAAAACTAATATTTAAAGTTTATCTAATTAATTTTAGTCTAAAATTCTGATGAATATCAATCAAATCAACTGAAATATAAACAATTTTAAGCTCTTTAAAGTATATTTGACAAATTTCTCTGTGATTTTAAGGCAAAATTCTAATTTTGCTCCCTTAAAAAATTGCTGGGAAAAATTTCAACATTTTATAAAGCTTTCATGAGCAATTTTAAGAGCAAAATCCGGAGAATATCTTCAGTTCTTCAAACAATACAAATTTAATTGCTTTAATCACCGCTAAATTACCTGAAAGGGATCAATTTCCAGCAATTTTGCATGAATGAAATCAAAACTCGGCAGGAATTCGACAAACAGTAATTTCTCTCTTAGGAATTTCTGCAATTGAGAAGCAATATTGCAAAGAAATTCACTAATTAGTCGCGCGCGCGCGTTTCTCAGCCGATAAATCACACGAGAAACTCCAAGAAAAAAAGCTGCATTTGTCATCCTTCTGGCAAAAATATTATGCATTTGTCGATAACGTGATTCTTGTTTGTATTTCTTCAACTTTATCGCACACTTTTGTGTACTTTTCCAGCACTCCTAAATCGCCTATAAAGAGTGTATAAAGATTGTGGAGTTGCTGGATTTCCTCAACTCCGAGCGCCTCAATTGAGACTCTTTTGGTTGTGCGATTTTAATGCCCAATAAATCCCACAATCACGCACCTTCAGGAGCTCATTTTAGCACCTTAAGAAACCCTCACAAGAGAATGTCTCTGAACAGTGGCGAAAATGCAGAAAGTTTACAATTTTCACCTCAAATCTCTCGCAAAGCGCAATTGCGTTGATGAAAAGTATTTGCAGCACAATTTCAGCGTGAGTTCATTGAGTATATATTTGTCCACGTGGGCGCGAAATCGAGATTTCTCAACAATCACACAAAAACAACGACTAGTTTTCAACAACACCGCGGCTGAAGAAACTCTTAAAGATGCGAGAATTGTGAACCCACTCGCTTTTTCAAAAACAATGCGCGCCTCAAATCAACAAATTTAGTCTTGTTTTTTCCACTTTTCAAGTCATCAAATGATCCAGAAATGACATCAAAATCTTATCAATGTTTGAAGGAAAATAATGCGATAATCTCTCGATAAATTACAACACACAATTAATTGTCTTGTCTTCCGACCAAACCCCCAAAAAAAAAAACAAGAAAATAGACAAATTTGCATTTCCGCTCTGCAATTTTACCGCAAAGAAATCACGAATCAATTCACGGATCATTTAATTTCGCCTCACTCTCGCGATCACTGCCTTCAAATCGACGGGTGCTGGGAAAACTGTTAAAAGTCAAAATCACCATTTTTCAGCAGAGCAAGTTTAAAATTTACCATCAAAATTGGTGCGAAATTTGCCAAATTTACTTCAAAACGCCCTCAAATCGTCCGTTAAAGTGCAAATTTTGCTCTGTATTTCTTATTTTGTTAATATTTTAGTTGATTTTATCGGTATTTATTGAAATTTTTGACTAAAATATGGCAAAATTATTAGAAAATTTGGAAATATTACATTTCAAGTTCAAACAAGTTCTAAAAAATCAACTTTTCATACTTTATTTGAACTTTTCTTTAAAGTTTCTCAAGTGAAAAAATTTAAAATCTAAAAATATATGAGAAATATTTATTTAAAGTAAAAAAAAATTTCCGGATAATTCTGATATTTCCAAATTTTACTTGAAAAACCATCAAAATGCCTTCAAATCGTTCCTTAAATTGCAAATATTGCTCTGAATTTCTTATTTTGTAAACATTTTAGTTGATTTTATTGGCATTTATTGGATTTTTTCACTAAAATATGGCAAAATTAATGGAAAATCTGAAAATATTTGTTATAAAATTCAATTTTTTATACTTTGCTTGAACTATTCTTTAGTTTTCAAGTGAAAAAATTTAAAAGATTTGAGAAATATTCATTCAAAGACTAAAAAACATTTTAGAATAATTCTGAAAATCTAAAATTATTGTCTGACAAGTCATTTTATGCATTTCACTGAAATTTTTGAGACATTTTTCTTAGAAAAATTTTCCCATTCGTGCTTTTAAGATAAATAAGATTTTTTACTGTTGTTTCATAAGATAAAAATCTCAACATTTTTCTACAGGAAGAACAAATAATAAGCTTTGCTAAAAATTCATAAGATGAAAACAATGATAAATCGACTTTTTCGTAGTTTTCCATTCACCCGTCGAAATGCATTTTTCAATGCAGAAAAAAGCCAAAGCAGAAGAAGAAGAAAAGAAGAGGCAAAACTGAGCCCATGAAAATCGTTGTCAATCTTCCAATGACCTGAAATACTCTCGCGTCTTCTTCTCTCTTCCACATCTCTTCGTGCTGTTTACATTTGATAAGATTCGCGCCCGAGTGAAACCCCAGGTTAATTCCGAATGCATTTTGCCACACATAAACACACAGTCGCAGCAAAAGTCAGCGCAATTCCTTTGCGGGGCTTCCAAACGAATGCGAAGAAGCAGCGCAAGAATGCCAAGGGAAGAAGTGAGAGAGAAAGAGAGATAATAAGGAGATTCTCCAGATCGTGATTCGAATATAATTTTATGGAGGGAAAGGAATTTTTTCCGTGCGACTCTGTTTAGAGAGAGAGTTGAAAGAAAACCGGGAAGAGAAAAGGGAAAATATGCGTGGCTGAATCACAACACAAAATCCCTCAAAGTCCAGTGAACTCGTTTTTTGGGCCTTTTTCGGTTCATTGGCTCCAATTTTTGTCCAGAGATCCTCAATGGAAAATGTCATTCGATCGAGATTTTAGGATCTTGAAGAAACTTATTGAAGAGAGTCTTAAAAGACGGACTAAAAAGGAAAAAGATATTTCGGAAAAACCAAGAAATCAAAACATCTTCAAAACAAGAGCTGAAAACTAAACCAAAACCGTCTAAAGATTCTTATAGAAAACTTGAGATCGCGGAAAAATGGATGTTCAAAAATTCTATCCAGTGATTTTGTATCCGGAAAATATTGAAAATATTCAAAACAACTTCAAGAACAACTTAAAAAATATCTAAATATTGAAAATATTCAATTTTCAAGTTAAGTTCTTAATCACTAAACATGGAAAATATTTCTAAACTCGTAATTAATAAAAATTTCTTTTAACAAGACTTTTTACCTTGTTTTCCGGAAAAATGGCAAAATTTGTGAAGATTTCTATTTGAAATTTTTCACTTTTTTAAATAATGGGTAAAAATATAATCAGAGTTGAGCAAGAAATAAAAAATTTTGAAATCTAAGTTGCTTTTCTATCTAAACCTAAGATTAAAATATAAGAAATCTTCGCTCTTTGGTTTAAGTTTACTTCTGATCTTAGAAAAATTAAGGCTTTTGGTTTAAATAATCTAGTTCTGTAAAATACTACTATTAGAATAGGTCCTATATTATTAGGTACGGAAATAACAAAGATCTTTTTCAAGGTCTTATCAGAACTTTTGAAACCTAGAATTTAAAGAAGAAGATTAAATGCAGATCCTAGTTAACTTCGAAAAAGCCTCCTTGAGTTCCTAGTTTTCTAATCAAGTATCTAAAGGTACCTAAAGTCATTGCCTAACTTGATAAGACATTTTCTGAGCCTAATCCAGGAAGATAAACCCAAGATTAAGTCCTAATCCTGTTAGAATCTAGTGAATCAGAATCCTAGGCTTCCGCTGGGCCTTTCTAGGCCCCTCGAATCACTTCCGATCGTCAAGCGATCGTGTTGAAGCGTTTATCGTCTTCTTTGTGCGCCAAATCGGCACAAAAGCCGGAGAAATTATGACGAAAATATGCAAATAGTCGTGTGATAAACATTCCCGTGCGGGGCGCGCGGCGCCCACGCTGAGCCTCCGCTCTGCACCTGCCGGAAAGGCGCCCCTTACCGATGAACACCGCCGGAGACTCCATGTCGTCGCGCACGCACAAACACTTCTTCGCACCTCACTCGCGGGGGCCCCGGAGTGCCCGCCGTGCACGCGGATCGCGAGAAAACCACTCCCGGGAGGGTTTTTCACCGTGAAAATCCACTCTTGAGCGCCGCGAAAGTGAAATCAACAGGTGTCAAAGTCAAGCAACACTTTTCCACTCACTTTCCGCACACTTGAGCCACCGGAACGCCGCGGAAAACACTCGGGGGTGCGTCACTGCAGGGCGGAGAGCACTTTTTGGTTGGGTGCATAGCGGAAATGGGGCGCTAAATGGGGTGAAAAGGGCAAAAGCCACACCGCGCGACTTCCAACGTCGAGATAAAAACACCAACTGGTGGCGCCCTCCGGACCACATGACACTCAGCGCCGTGAAGTTGGCCGCGATAGTGAGCGAAGGAGAAGAGGAAAAAAAGCGGGGAAGAGAAGAATTGATTTAGTGGTTTTTTAGCAGAAAATACAGTATTTTCCAAGTATTTTCCGTACTGCTTGATGAATTTAGTTGGTAATGAAGGGATATTGGAGGAAATCCTTGCAGATTTGGTGTTATTTCGAGAGATTTCTGCACGAAGAAGTGGGGAAAGTGCAGAAATGGCGTTCGATGTTTTCCCCTCAAATGGCGGGAGAAGCGAATCGAATGCAGAGGAAAAGTGATAAGAAATGTCGATAACAGTCAATAATTCAATGGCAAATCAGTTGAATTCCACCAGCTCGACACTTGACATACACTCTCCAGAGCCCTGAATTGCTGTTATGTAAAGAAAATCCCACTTTCGAGGACATAGAATGCGGAGGTGGCGAATCTTCTGCCCAAAATCTCGCGATTTCACGCACTTTTTTGCACCAAAAATCCAGCAAAATTGCTACTTTACCGTAGAACTTCTGCATGAAGATCTCGTAATCGATGCTCTCGGTGATTTTCCGGGTGGGAAAGTCACCCTCAAAGTGGATTCTGTACAGCACAATCTTCTTCATCGCGATTTGCAGCACATTTTCACACCATCAAGCGCGGAAAACTCACCTTCGCGCGCCACCCAATCGAACCTGTTGTCCAATTCCGACTAAAACGTGTTCTTATCTCGCCTCTCTTGCCACACATTTTTCGCGAGAACATCCACGAAAAATGTGCGCAATAAAAAGAAGTTTAGTGAAGCGCGACGAAGCGATAACATAGACTTTTTTTTATTGTTGCGCTTTTTCAGCTGAGATTTGGAGAAATTTTTCGGAATAATGTTTTTGCTAAAGGTCGTCTTGTTTTGCAAATCAAATTGTGGATTTATTCTTGTTATTCATCCGAAGACACACAATTTTTCACCTGAATAATGTACAAAATACAAACAAGATTACATTTGATGGGAATGAATTGAGAAGAACCAAGAGAGAAAAATTGCACAGATAACATCGAATTTCCTTGTTTGTCCTTGCGAAGAAATGTCGTCCCGCGGAAGGCCTGAGGACGCGCGTCTGTGGTCAGTCTGGGGGCGGCGGCTGGGCGACGGGGGCGCGCTCACGCCACCCGGATGGACTGGATGATCTGGAAGATGGCCGAGCCGCACACCACGAAGATGAAGAGCCCCAGCAGCCACGGCCCCACGGCGTACTGCTCCTCCTTGTTCTTCTGCACAGCGCCCCGTCCGGGAGACACACGAGAGAGAGAGAGAAAGCGCGTGAAAACACGTCCAAGGCAGAGACAAGAGGTGAAATTCAATACTCACAGAACTTTTGGGCACATTTCCTCGCATCGTGATGTACTTTTCCGCCTTCTCGTTGGCAATCTTCATCCTCTGCTTGGGGGCCATTCTCGTTGACTGGTTTGCGGGTGGTTTGCAGTGGGAAAAGCACTCCTAAAGTGGAGAAATATGGTTCGTCGTGAGATTTATACGTGGTTCAGGGAAAGTTGACACGTCGCTCAGTGGCTACAGCACAGCGGAGCGCTCGTTGTGCAACTTTCACGCACCGCGGCGCCACTTTCACCACGGCAAAAGGGAAAAAACCGCGACAAATAAAATTCTCCTCCGCAGAAATCCCTTCTAAATCGCATTATTGGTCTTCCAGAGCTTTCCCAAGGACATGAATTTTCAAAATCCTCGCAAAGTCCATCATTTTTCCTCTTCTGCGTAGTTGTTGTGCTTGTCCAGCTGACAGTGCGGCTGTCCAGCCGGGTTCAGTGTGCTAAGACGTCAAATTGGATGATTGAGTGCTAAAAGCATCCAAGGCGTGTTTCTTCAGTGAAAATCTCGCAAAATCAGCACTTGTCGCGGGCAAAATTATCCCAAATCGCGAGTCGGAGCTCCCGTGCGCCCCATTGCGATGGAGTTGATGTGAATAACGTGGTATTTTCATCGGGAGACCGAAGAAAATCTCTGCAGCAAATTCTGCCATTTTCAACCACCAGCGCCCCTTGCGGCGCCGTGGGCAAGCACCCTTGCCCAATTTCACGCATTTTCACGCTCTTCCCGTCGCTTTTCGCGCACTGTGTGGCCCCGCGGGCGGTGCAGTGGGGCTCGAGGGCACGCGAGGGTGTGAAATTGTGAGGTGAAGTGTGATTTTGGTGTTTTGTGCGGAGTTTGGCTGAGCCAAGACACCGCCCACTGATAACAACGTTCGTCGCTCAGCGGAGACACGCGTGAGGAAAAGCGAGGGAAAATCGCGGTGTGAGTGGAAAATTGCGCGACATTTCGCGCTGTCCGACAGTCGCGCTAATTTGGCACTGTGTGTGCGTGTTTCAGAGTGAAGACAGCCGCCGGTGGAAAATGTCGTCCGTGCCGGTGCCGCGGATCCTCAAGAAGAAGCACTTCCGCGTGAAGCACCAGAAGGTGAAGCTCTTCCGCGCCAATGAGCCGCTCGTGAGTGTCTTCATGTGGGGCATCAACAGCACCGTGAGTATCTTTTTGAGGGGTTTCCGTGCGTCGCGGGCGGTTTTTCACTGTGCCTTTCTGTGCTTTTCTGGGCAGATTAACGAGCTCAGCCATGTCAATATCCCGGTTATGCTGCTGCCAGACGACTTTCGGGCCTATTCAAAGATCAAAGTCGACAATCACCTGTTCAACAAGTGAGTAAAAGCGCCCCAGAAGCCCCAAAAACACCCCGAAACCCAAGTAATTGCGGTGCTTTGTTGCAGAGAAAACATGCCATCCCACTTCAAAGTCAAGGAGTACTGTCCGCTGGTCTTCCGGAACCTGAGGGAGCGCTTCGGCGTGGACGATGTGGACTATCGCGAGTCCCTGACGCGCTCGCAGCCGCTGAAGATCGACTCGAGCGGCAAGAGTGGCGCCCAATTCTACATGAGCTACGACAAGTTGTTCATCGTGAAGAGCCTGACGTCGGAGGAAGTGGAGCGGATGCACTCCTTCCTCAAGCACTACCACCCGGTGAGTAATCGCGCCATCGCGCGATAAGCACCGCCGCGATAATGGCGAGATTTCCGCCCAGAGAAGTCCGAATTGACGGACTTTTGGCACTTTCTCACAGTCTTTTCTTCACACTGAACAAGAAAACCTTGCTTGAAAACACAGTTTTATCACGCGAATTTGGCTGAAAATGCTCAGCATTAGGCTCAGAGTTGATTTACGACATGAGCATAGATAAGAGATTGTGATAAAGTGTGAGAAAGACTATTAATAGATGCGACTTTTGGTCAAACACGCACTGAAACACGGCGAAAAACACAGCCAAAGGCAGAGAACAATGGAAAGGGCGGGGCTTCGAAAGGGGCGTGGCTTCAATGACCTTGTAATAGTCTAAATCAATGTCAATTCCAATAATTGCGTGCAATGAATGGATTTGGAAAATAACTGTAATCACTTTGTGTGTCTGTTTTGTTGGAGATTGAAGAGTTTTTAAATTTGTCCTATTTTATGATGATATTTAATGCTTTCGAAACATGAAATTAACTCTGTGACATTCTTTATTTGATGGTTTTTGAGCTTGTGCGATGATAAATACTATAATTGAAGGGATAATAATGCAATATTTATGGAATTATTCATGAATATCGATTGAAAACATCACAAATACCCTTTATAAAGTCAATTTTCTATGCATTTTCAACTGTGAAGAAATATTTTCATCATCTCGATGGGTTTTAAGTTCAGAATTAGTGTATTTTTAAGCGTTTAAGAAGGGTATTAAAATCAATTCTTCAGTGTATTTAGTAAGATTGTCGATATTTCTTAGGAATCAAGACGATTTCTCACACAGTTTTTGGGTGTTTAGTGTGATAAAAAGCATGAAAATTGCTCAATTTAATGCTTTTATTATCTTTTAAATGCAATATTTTAAAATCGAACAGGAAATATCAATGAAAAGTGCTCAAAAAGCTTAATTTAAAACAAACAGAGACATAAAGAGAGAAATATTCGTGAAAAGTCGTTATTTAGACACATTTTCAGAAGATAAAATGCTTTATTAGTCAAATTGATTGAAGATCTTCAGAGCATTCAGTGAAATTCAATACTGAAAACATGAGAAAAGACGAAGAATTCATTTTGTTCTGTGAAAAAGACGAGAAATATCGATGTGAAGTGTTTAAATGGGCGGAGCTCGCGAGTGGGCGTGGCCTCGAGTCTAATTACTTGGCTGCAACCTTTGCAGTACGTCGTGGAGCGACACGGCAACGTGCTGCTGCCGCAGTATCTTGGCATGTACAGGCTGACGGTGGATGGCGTGCAGTCGTACTTCGTGGTGATGCGGAACGTGTTCAGCTCGCACCTGCGCGTGCATCGCAAGTTCGATCTGAAGGGCAGCACGGTGGAGCGCGAGGCGAGCGACAAGGAGCTGGAGAAGCAGCTGCCGACGCTCAAGGACAATGACTTCATCAAGTCGGGCATCAAGATACTGATTGGGGACGAAGCCAAAGAGAAGCTGCTTGCCACACTCAATGCTGATGTCGATGTGAGTTGATTTGCTTGTGCTTTTGCAGCTCTGATTTCCTTAATTTCGTCGCTTTCTTCTGCAGTTCCTCACCAAATTGCACCTCATGGACTATTCTCTGCTGCTGGGCATTCACGATTGCAATCGCGCCGAGGAGGATCTGGCCAATGAGGGGCTGCAGGGTGGCGCGCGGGGCGAAACGAGTGACAGCGAAGAGTGCGACAGTGGCGAAAGGTAAGAATTTTTGCATTTTTCCTGTGAATTGTGACGATTTCATTGGGATTTTCGCGACAGATTCAACTACAACACGCCGCCAGACTCGCCGCGATACATCGGCCAGGGACAATACAATGAGATCATACCGGAGATTGACATCTATGCCATCTCGAGTGTGCCGGAGAGGCGAGAGATCTACTTCATTGCAATTATCGACGTGCTCACGCACTATGGCGTGAAGAAGCAAGTGAGTTTCACTCTATGCAACTTTGCCATCTTGTCTTATAAGATATGAATCTTAACCTCAACTTGAGAAGTTATTTTAGTGCTTCATTTGCTCGAGTTTTTGATTTTTCAATTGAAATTTTATATTAAACTCCAATTTTTGCAAAAAATGCGCGCAAATAAGCCAAATAAACAAGGGGCAAATCACAAGGCGATTTTTGAGGAAACTTAATGTTCTCTAATCAAATAATCAATTATCTGAGTAAAATAATCAAAAAATGATTATTTTCCCAAGTAAAATTGAAAAATAACCAAATTTTGAATAAAATAATTTAAAAAAAGAATATTTTCTCAAGTAGATTTAAAAAAATAATCATATTTTGAATAAAATAATCAAAAAATTATTGTTTTCTAAATTAAAATTGCAAAATAATCAAATTTTGAATGAAATAATAAAAAAAAATTAATATTTCTGAAAGTAAAATTGAGAAAAAAAATCAAATTCTAAATAAAATATCAAAAAAAATTATTATTTTCCAAAGTAAAATAAAAAAAAATCAAAATAATCAAAATCTGAACTAAATAAATAAAAAAAAAAGAATTTTTTCTCAAGTAAAATCGAAAAATAATCAAAATTTTAATTGAAATCACAAATAATCAAATTTTGAAAAAAACGTATTCAGAAAATAATTAAAAAATAATCCAAATTTGTATAAAATAATCAAATTTTAATCAAATATTCAGAAAATAATAGAAAAATAATCAGAATTTTGTACGAAATAATCAAAATTTGAGCAATAATCACAAATAATCGAAGAAAAAGATTGAATAATCACAAAGTTATTGGTCTCAACTTGCGGAGTGATTTTCCCCTTGCAAATAAATTATTTAATTCGTTCGTTTCTCTGGAATATGATTTAATTTTGGGCATTTTAACTACTTTGCAAGATTTTAAATTGGAAATTTGCACATCTTGACAGTGAAAAGTGAGGTTAAATAAACCCTTAAAGTCATTGGAAGAGTATTTTGGTTCTGGAAATTGTGTTTTCTTGCATTCTTGAGTGAATTTACAGATTTTTCAAAGCACAAACATTGACAACAACTTTTTTAACAAGTCTAGAAGTCTTTAAATTGAGAAATTGGGCATCTTGATAGTCAAAAGTGAGGTTAAATAAGCCCTTAAAGTTTCTGAATATCATTTCAATGCACTGAAGGTCTCTTGAAATTGAGTTTTCTTACATTCTTGAGCAAATCCGTGTATTTTTCAAAGCATAAGCAGAAAAGATTTCATTTCATTGCAGAAAATATCTCAAAAAACCTTCAAAATGTTGTAAGAAACTCTAAAATTGTTACATTTTTATTGTCTTCATGGGCAAATTAGTGAATTTTGATACTTTGAGAGAATTTCTCAATTAATTTCTTATAATACAAGATTTTGCATCTTATTTAGTATGACAAGTTTGTAAAGTTGCATCGAATTGTGTGGTTAGAAATTTGATTCTTTGTGATTCATGTGAGTCAATTGACTTCTTGTCACTCTGCAATTACTGACAATTTCCCTCTCTTTTTCCCTCTTTTCTCTCGCGCGGCACGCGAACAGGCAGCCAAAGCAGCGAAGACAGTCAAGTATGGGAGCAATGTGGATGGAATTTCAACTTGTGACCCTGAACAGTATGCCAAACGATTTATCGACTTTATTGATAAGGCAATTGAGTAGAAGTATTTTGCCTAATTTACAAGCACATTTCGTGCTGATAAAAGAAAAATTGATGGAATGAAGAAGAAGAAAAAAATTGAGGAAGAGAAGTTAATTGAGATTATACAGATTTGGGGGATGATAAAGATAAGAAAAAGGGGAAAAGAAAACACAAAAACACACACACAGAAATTCTATCTCAAGCCTTCGTTGCGAATCACAAATGAAAAAATAAAATGCTGAAGCGAAAATGGAGGAGAAAAAAGTTTTTCAATTTCAAATATTCTCTCTTGAGACACTCTTTTGCTCTCAAATTCTCATCTTTTTTCTCCTGTTCTTTTTTGTATAAAAATGATAATAATAATAATAATAATAATATTAATAGTAAAAATGACAAATTGAAACTCTGTGAAATGGACAAATTCTACACAAAACAAACAAACAAAAACACTAATAAAACAATAAATCTTGTGCAATGTTTAGCGAGAATGTGAAAAGCTGAAGTTATAGAGTAAATAAAGAATAAATCCCTTAAATGAAAGGAAGAAGATGAAGAAGAAAAAAACCGTATTTAAGCCTGAATTGAAGACTTTCTATAAACAGGTGTTGTTAGAATTTTATTAATAAAAAAAAAAAGATGTGAAAAGAAGAGAAAAAGTATCAAAAGAGTGAAGAAATTCTTGGGATTTTGATGTGAAATTTAAGTAATTTTTGCGTGTGAATATTTAAATAAGGCATTCAATGCAATTCTTGAGCATTTTTCCTTTCCTCCAGAAGAAGAAAAAAATAACAACAACAATAAAAAATCACTCAAATAAGAAGAATTACAAACAGAGGGCTGAGTCTTGAAATTCGTCAAAATCAGAATCAGTGGAAATTGACTGATTTTGAGAAATTTGCGAGTTTTGAGTAAAAATCAGTCAGAAACCGAGTCAAAATTGGCTTAAAATCAATCAACTCGTGTTGACATGAGAACATCGAGTCAACACGATTGCTCAATGTCTCAATTTTAAGATTTTACTTCAATTAGAGTATCAAATGGCCATCGATGGCATCGGAAATGGATAATAGAATAATTATTCTAATTGTTTTTAATTTTATATTGATAATTTTCCTTATTATAGAGGCTCAGAGACGGAGAATGTAAAAATTTAGTGGATATTCGGATAGAAAATAGTGATTTATATTTTATAAATGTTACTATTTGTCATTTTCGCCCCCCATTTATTGCATTTTAACTATTTTTCCTTCGAAAAAGAAAACCATAATAGAGTTTAAAAATGTCAAATCTAACTCTACAATCCCGCGAATTTGTTGATTTGCCTTTCATTTGAACGCTTTTGATGTGAAATGATTTCTTTGCCGAATTCGACAAAGTATAAATTTCCTCAATACCACATTGTTCCTAACTAGTCCCTGAGAGTCCCTCTTTGCAGTGTCGAGGCAACGATAATCCAAATTTTATTATGTCATGCATAATCCTTGCCATTAACATTTTGAGTTTTTAAGGTTTCTTTCTTCTTAATTGGATGGAATTCCCAAATTCTTCGTCCTTTGCTTAGTGCTTAAGTCTCATGAATTATGAATCAATGAATTGAACATGTGAACATATAAAACAAATCTAAGTGTCATCACAAGATGAACAATTGGTTGGACGAAAAAATTGATGGAGAAATTTTTGCAAAGGGGAGGAAGTCAATCCCCATCTCGTGAGGCACCTCAAGATCGCCCGCAGAAGTCTCATTCTACTCCTGGGACTTCTCGTATAACCGCAGGAGAACATCTGTAGGTTAATAATGCACATTATTCACATATTTGTCGCCTGAAGGTTAATTTTTGGCTTTCTTAAGGCGCTGAAGACACCGTATGATGATTCTTTGGGGGTAAAAGTTAAGTTTGAGGAGCATTTTTATCATTTTCTGCCTCAAACACCTCAACTTGGCCCAAATCAAAACAAGAAAAAGACGTTTCTGCGTGCGTTCCGAAAGCATTTCCCTGATTTTGACTCAAGACTCAAGAAACTTTCAAAATTGTGATCATGTCAACAAGTTAAAAATCGATGAGGTTCTGTTGATTCTGATTTTGACCATTTTCAAGACTCAGCCCTCAGGAGAAATTTTGAAGAAAAGTTGTTCGAACAATAATAATAATTAAAAGAAAACAAAGAAAAACCACTGATGATGATGAAAAGTATTTAGAAAATAGGCGTAAAGAGAACAAGAAAAAAAACAATTACTAATTAAACTATTATAAAAAAGCTCTTTTTAAATATGTGTAAATATCTTTTTATTTTCTAATTTATTAAGTGTTTCTTCTTTTTCTACAAGTGAGATGAAATTAAAAAAAAAAACATACAATTTATGGAGGAAAAAGTGAATTTTCGAGAGCTTTTTTCTGTTCAGAAATAAATTTAATAGAAATTTAATGAATAATTAATCTTTGATGATGAATTTAAAAGAAAAATGGATTTAAGCAGTTTGATTTATAAGGTTTATTTTTGAGACTAGTCGCGCCAGATGAGCTTACAATTGATTGATTAAGAGAGAGAGAAAAAAGGTGTGAAATGAAAAGGAAAGAAAAGAGAGAAATGGATGGAAAAGATGCTGAAAAAGAAAAAGAAGTGAAGAAAAACAATTCTTGAGTCTGTGATTTTGATTTTATTTAGTGTGTTTTTCTTTATTAATTGTTTTTCCTCTCTGCAAAAAAAAAAATGAGTTCATAAGAGTTTTTTTTATTAAATGTATTTCATATAAATCAAATGCGAGAAACAAAAAGAGTATTAAGAAGATGAAGAGGAAAAAATATTGTGGAAGAAGAGCATTTAAAAAAAAAAAATGGGAATTGATTTTATTAAAATATTAAATAAGAAGAGAAATCAAATTTTGAGAAGAAGAAGAAAATCAAGTGACGGATTTTTTCACCCAATAAAATTTCCACCTTATTTTATATTCTGGTTCATTGCTGTTTATTAAACAATAAAATATTATATAATCTATACATCAATATTTTAGTGATAATTGATAACAATAAAATGAAGAAAAAAAAACTGTACTCAGATAAAAACTCATTACGATATTTTTTCTTCCTTCTTTCTTGGACTTTTCATCGGGAATTCTGCGCATCAAATCTCTTAAACACTTCTCTTAAAGGGTTCTTTTTTTCTTCTTTATTTAGGGGAGGAAAAAGGGGGAAAATTCCTTGCAATTCTTCCACGCCAAAGCCTTCGTTGTGGTTCACTTTTCCGATCGTCTTCCATCGTCTTTTTGATCTTCATTCGTCGCACAGTTTCTGCTGGGATTTCTTCGGTTTGATGAGAAAATTCTCTTTTCTTCTTTGTTGCTGAGAAATTGACACTCGATTGCACACATTAAGAGATTTTATTACAGGTCAGGACAAATCGAGTCTCAATCGCTCTGCGCGCGATCCTTTCTCCAAAACGCCGGTCAAAAGATGCTTCTTCTTAAATGCTAAAAAGGGGGTTGAAAAAGGGGGGTTTTTCTTGGGAGGAGGAAATTACGTACAACTTCTGCATGATATGTCTTAATGCGTCAGTGGGTTTTTTTCATCTTCTTCTCTCTTAAACCTTCTCACAATTGTAGTTCCTGATAAAATTGATATGTCAGTATTTATATTAACACTTTGTTTTTTTCTTAGACACCTTTTTTCCACAATATAATATAATTCACTTGTTTTTTTTCTTTCTTTATTTTAATATATAGATAAATATAGTAAAGATGTTTTTTTTGATATGCAATTTTTTTTTTTAATCCTTTATCTTGTTCAATAAGAGATATGCGATTAGATATGTTTCATTTCTTCCTTCCTTTCTTCTTGAATAATCTACGATTACACAAACAGGTAAATTTCCATTAGATAAATATACTGGTTTTGCATCTCCTTTTCTCTCTCTTTCTTTCTCTTCTCAAATATACACAATAATCAAAATTGACCTCCTTTTTTTCATCTCCTTATAATGTGTTCATTAAATACTTTGAGTTTTTCTCTCTAATTTCTATTCTAAGAGTTTCTAAGGGTTTTTTTTCTCTTCTTCATCCGTGAATAAATTCATATCGCAACATTTTTATATAATTTCACTTTGTTTTTTTCTCACTTAAATTTTACACCTTCATCTCGATCCGAAGTCTGTCGTGTTTCTTCACTTTTTTTCTCCTTATATAATTAATAAGATTCATTCTCTTAAAATTTCACCTTAAACTTCTATTCTTTGAAAATTTCTTATATCCAGTGAACTTAAGAGTTTTTTTTTTTTGGTTCTCATGTTGAAGAACGAAATCTTGATTTGTGGCTGATGTTTTTTTTGTTGGTTGTTGTTGCTTTGAAAAAGGAAATTTCGATTGATCTCTTAAGTGCTAAGATTTCTTGAAATCTTGGTTTTCTTTCTTTATAAGGTACACAACTCTTTATGTGATTTTTTTTATCAATTAATTTCTCATTTTTTTTTCTTTAGCTTAAATCGAGTTTATTAAGAAACCTCGGCTGAAACGTCTATTTTTCGGGGCTGAGGTGGGAAAAATCTTGATCTTGGGAAGATCGTCAAACACTGTGGATTTTATGTTTTTCCTTGTAAGTTAAGAGACATTCTTGGGGAATATAAGAGAGACACATATCACAAGACAAGTAGAATTACAATATAAGTTTTTTCTTCTTCTTCTTCTTTATCAATTACGCAGAAATCTTTTGTTGTGATGAAATCTCGCTTAAAATTTATTAAATCTTAGTTGTCACTCTTCAATTTCACACTAAGAGAAAAAAGCATCAGCACACAATTATTTATTTTTTCTTCTCTCAAAACTTACTATGTTAAGAATCTCTGAAGTTAAATATATTTTTTCTTTGCTTTCTTTTCTGTCTTGCGATCCCGCTTCCGTGAATTTTTTTTTTTGAAAGGGAAAAAATTGAAAAGAGTGAAGATTTTCATGTCAAATTGTTCAAATTTTTTTCATGAGGTTTTTATAAGAGTTTATAAGTGAAAGTTTTTAAAGACAGAATTTTTTTCATTTCTTTTTTTCGTCTTATAGTAAGAGAAGGTTTTTTTTTGGGGAAATAAAATTTGCGTTTCTTGTCCACTTTTTTTTTTGTTCTTATCAACCACATTTCTAATCTAATTTTCCTAAGTGTTTTCTATGTTTTATGACTATTTTTGGTGTGTTTTTTTTGTTCTCTAGATTTGTTTTCTTCTCCTGGGTTTCTTCTTGGCGCCGCGACACAGGCAAAGGGAAGTCGAATTGGTCACACCACCAAATGATGACCTGTTCTCATGTGTCAGTGTGTTTCTTGTGTGGTCAGAAGAGGTCATTCGTGAAGAATTCAGAGTCGCCTTTGGATGTCGCGCGCGCGCGCGCGTGAAAACCGCTTGAGAATTGCGATGGTTTTATATAAGTTTTTTCCTTTTTTTTTGCAAACTGTGCCCAGATAAAGGGTGTTTTTTGTCACTTTATCCACTCTCTTTCTCTTTCTTTTGATCCTCCCGAAAAGCACCACTCAATGGCCAGCCAATCTCTCGAGAAATTATCACCATTTCATCCTCTTTGTCCGTCATTCCAACCCAAAAACGCGCAAAATTAATTTTTTGAAGAAAAGGGGAGGGAATGATCTTCTTCTTCTTTCTTTTTTTTTTTTGGTTGCCCCGGAGTTTCATCATCTGCCCAAAATCCTCAGCAAAGGATGAATCTCGTCGGCGGTTTTTTTTTAGCGTTTTTCTTTCTCCTTCATCTTCGTCTTTGCTTTCTCACTCGCAGAGGGAGAAATTCTCCCCCAAATTTGGGAAAAAGGCGAATTGATTAATGATGCAGAGTGAGTGAAATTGATAAGAAGGTAGGAGAGAGATTAAGTGAGGGTAAATTAGTAAACGTATCCGTCGAAGGAGGAACCGAGGTAGGAGTAGAACTGGGGATTAATAGGGACAGCGTAGTAGAACGGGGAAGCTGGATCTGGCGCTACTCAGTCGAGGAAGCCGGTGTTGACCAGCTTCTCGAGGAAAAACTTCACATCGCCCAGCTCAGAGTCTTTGATTCCCAGTGATTTCAGCATGCCCAAATCACCATTCTCCACGGCCATGAACACCGATCGCAAGTGCTCCAAGTCGGACCTGCAAAAACACATCCATAAAATCATCCCTCATTAATCCCAGTCAACACTGTGGCGTCCATTCTTGAATTTACAACGAACAAACTCGCCCAAATTGCTAACGCTGACGTGCAAATTGTCCAGAGCAATGGAGATTATTTACTCTGACTTCCACTTCGACGGGTGAATCGAAGACTATTGAAAGTCGTTTTTGGATTGATCTTAATGTCTTCTTATCACATTGGCAAGAAATAAAGAAATACGATTTTTCTTAAAAACTCCGCATGTAGAAAATTTCTCAATGTTGCGTTGAAGAGTATGAAAAGTCGACTTTTGATAGTTTACGCCCAAGGGGCTAATCAGTCGCGCAAATTGAGACCATTAGCTTTGTGATTATTCAATCTTTTTTTCGATTATTTCGTGATTTTTACTCAAATTTTGAATATTTCGTACAAAATTCTGATTATTTTTTGATTATTTTTCAATTTTACTTTGGAAAATATATTCATTTTTGGATAATTTAATTCAGAATTTGATTATTGAGATTTTTATGCAATTTTACTTGGAATTTGTTTTTTTTTTTGATTATTTTTCAAAATTTTCTTGAGAAGAGATTTATTTTTTTTATTTTTTTCATTCAATTTTTGGTTATTTTGATTTCTTGTCATTTTATTTGGGAAAATAATCTTTTTTTTTCAATTATTTTTCAATTTTATTTGAGAAAATATCCATTTTTTGACTATTTTATTTAGTTTTTGATAATATTTTGATTTTTCTTTGTGATTGAACTGCGGGAAAATAATCTTTTTTTTTGTGTATTCAAAATTAGATTTTTTTTTGCAATTTTAGTTGAGAAAGTAATCTTTTTTTATTATTTAAATCATTATTTGATTATTTTTTCAATTTTTTTCTTGGAAAAATGATGGGCAGGAAAAATGTAAAAAGTTGATTTTTACGAATTGTTTGAAAAAAAAGTACACAAAAATTATCAAAAACCGACTTATTGTAGCAAATTTTCCCAATTCGTTTATTAATTCTTCGTATTTTAGTTAATATTTCAAACAAATAACAGTGGAAAAACCTGGGAAAAATTGCATAAAAATAGAATTGAGCAATTTTATCAATTTACTGAAAGATAACAGAGAGTTTATGGAAAAATTAGGAAAATATCTAAGCAAAATCATCTCTCAAACTTCAAATCGCTCTACTGAAAAATGACGATTTTGACTTTTGATAGTCTTCACGGCACCCGTCGACTTGCATCCATATAAATTTATAAATATGCCATTTGCACGCTGTTGCATTGTGGATTGTTGGCAAATTCAGAGTAATTGGCAAACTAGATTAGACAATAGCTTGAGACTCACTGAAATACTGTGGATTTGTGGCATAGAAACACACTGATTGTTATGCAGAATCATCATTAAAACAGTTAGTAAGAAGTCATTAAATGTTCTGAAACCCTTCTGGAAAGTTAATTAATGGCAAAATCACTAGAAACAGCTTTCATTTGGCGCAAACAGCAACAAAAAGATCCTCAAAAGCACTTGTCAAATGGCCAACGCGGCCTGTCAAACTCATACAAAATACACAAACGCCAGCAGAGACATCTGTCAGTCGAAAGAATGTCGATAGAATATGAATGAAGTGAGAATTCTCCGATGGGCAGGAAAAAATCAATTTAATCTCGTTTAAAGATTCAATCAAGCCGGGAAAAAATCACGTCAATTGACGAAAATCCACACGTTTTTTAAAGTTTTCCACTGAAAGTGTTCTGAATTGCTCAAATTGATCAGATTATGCGAAAGAAAATTCATATTCAGCGCTTTCTAGTGTCAATTGTAACTTTGTTCAGTGTTCAGGGGCGGAGCAAATAAGTGGGCGGAGCTTTAAGCGTACAAAATCCTCCTTAATTTAACTTCATGACAAAATAACAAGGCACAATTTAAATGCCAATAATTGCTATTCCTTAACGACAAACACGAGAATCTCAGTGCTAATCTCCTTGAGATTATTCGGATTCCATTTTGGATCCCGAGATGGGATTAAAGCGCCCACATTTGGGGCTGAAAAGGTCGCAAAAGCCTCACCTCATGAGATGCAGAGCGGCGCCGAAGTCCTCGATGGTCTGCGACTCCGACAGCGCGATGGCGACCTTCTCAGTGCCGCCGAGTGGCTCCAGGGCGTCCCTGGCTTTGCTGCCGAAGAGCTTCTCCAGGTAGTTGGGTCCGTGGCTGGCCAGGAGACTCTGCAGGAAGGACGCCGTCTCCTCCACAGGTGGCCGCTTAGCTGCAAGAGAGAGAGAGAGAGACAGAAGTGATTTACGACTCTTTCTGTGTGTCTTTTCCCTGAAAGTTATAAGATTGTCCCTTCGAGGCGCGCAATCAGCAAGACACAAATCGCCCGGGAGGAGAAGAAGTTTCACATTCTCTTGTCTCCCCATTGATTTGGGGCCGAAAGTGGCGCTCTTCTCAATTGTTTGTGGCTTCTTTTTGTCTCTGCAGTATTTCTTTTGCCCTTTTTTTCCTTGCCAATGTTGTGTCTTTCCACCTTTTGGGGATTCTTGAGATGAACTTTAAGTTCATGTTTTCTTTTACAATTTGCTTTCACTACAAGATTATAGCTAATTTGCTTCGTCCTTTGACATTGACCCAGTTTATGATGGAGAGTGTTTAGCCATTATCTATATAGCCAAAGCTTTCGTGTACTTTCTAAGATGAAAGCTGTGAAAATCTTGACTCTTTGCTAAGTTTTATGAACACATCTTTTAGCTCTTCTTCTGTGTATTATTTCACAGTTGACATTAAAGTCAATCTCCTCAAGCATTTTCACCAAGGGGCAAATCACAAGGCGACTTTTGAGGAAATTTAATGTTCTCAAATCAAATAATCGATTATTTGAGTAAAATAATCATAAAATGAATATTTTCTCAAATAAAATTGAAAAATAATTAAAATTCAAAAAAAAAATTATCCAAAACTGATTCTTTTTCAAAGTAAAGTTGAAAAAAAACACAAATTTTGAATAAAATAATCAGAAAAAGAATGTTTTCCAAAATAAAATTGCAAAATAATCAAATATTGAATAAAATAATAACAAAAAAAATTAATATTTCCTAAAGTAAAGTTGCAAAAAAAAATCAAATTCGCAAATAAAATATTAAAAAATAATTTATTATTTTCGAAAGTAAAATAACAAAAGAAAATCAAATTATTCAAATTCTGAACTAAATGATTAAAAAAAAAATTAATTTTTTCTCAAGTAAAATTGAACAATATTCAAAATTTGAATTAAAATCACAAATAATTTAAAAATAATCAGAATTTGTATAAAATAAACAATTTTTAATTAAATATTCAAAAAAGAATCAAATATTCAGAAAATTATTTAAAAATATCAAAGTTTTGTATTAAATAATCGATTTTTAATGAAATATTCAGAAAATAATCAAAATATTAAAAAAAAAAATCAAATTTTAATCAAATATTCAGTAAAAAATAATAAAAAAAATTATCAAAATGTTATGTGAAATAATCAAAATTTGATTAATAATCACAAATAATCATAAAAATGATTAAATAATCATAAAGTTAATGGTCTCAACTTGCGGAGTGACTTCCCCCTTGATTTTCACCCACAATTTTCTCCAGCGAGAAGGATGAAAAGGAAAAATGCCACAAATCCACACAAGTTTGGTTTAACTTTGAGATTTCTCGTTAGACTTGGAGCTTTTGTGTGATTTCCAATTTCACCTTCACACACACACACACGAGCGCCTTGTGGTTAAGGATGAGAAAGAATTTCCTCAGCATTTTCTCCATGCGTGTCACTCTGTGAAAATTTACACTCTTCCAGGCTAGGATTTCAACGCCCATAAAAAGAGTGTTTTTTCCATCGTCCTTCTTCAGCAAACGCCGCCGTTTTATGCAAATTCCCTGGTGCTTGTTCATTTTAATTATCTCAAGGTGGATTTGAGAAAATTACAACACTCCAATGTAGCTAATTATATACCCAAAGAGGAGCTTTTTATTGTTTACCGAGAGCTTTCACGAGTGGGATTTTCTTGCTAAGACATTTTTGGCCATGATTTGGCGTCTTAAAGTGCCTTTTTTCTCTCTCTTTCTCTCTTTCGTGTTGGCGTGAATGGATTTGTCAGTGGAAAACACTCAGCATCACTGGCAACTCCATCAATAATCAAGAGTGAGTGACATGAAAGGCTCTTTTTCATGTGTGAAAGTTTGTGAAATGAGGCAAAATCGAATTGAAAATTGCATTTAAGAGGACTTTTTCTCCAATTGAGACGCAATATTTCGTGACATGAATTGAATTTTTGGAGTGAAAATCACTTCAAGAATCATATTGAAAACATTCAAAATAACTTGTGAAAGTTTTCAGTGCATTTTCACACAAATTTGTCAAGAGAAAATCACCTCAACGACAGACATTTGAGACATTTTATCAATTGAAATTTCCGTCGAAGCACCTCGCAAAGTAGTTTAACACAGAAACATTACATGAATTCATCACTCTCAATTACACATTTATGATCTTATACATGAAATACGACACATTGACAATGTCTCAATAGCGCCTGAGTAAATATCAAATGTAATTTGCTGTGACAGAGGCGGAATTTTCACTCCTAATGGAATTCCCATTCAAACAAGGGGCAAATCACAAGGCGACTATTGAGGAAACTTAATGTTCTCTAATGCAATAATCAATTATTTGAGTAAAATAATCAAAAAATGATTATTTTCCCAAGTAAAATTGAAAAATAATCAAATTATGGTTTGAATAATAAAAAAAAAGAATATTTTGAATAAATAATTAAAAAAAAATTTTTATCCCGAGTAGAATAACAAAAAAAATCAAAATAAACAAATTCTGAATAAAATAGTCAAAAAAATTATACTTTCTCAAATAAAATTGAAAAATAATTGGAAAAAATTTTCATTTCCCAAAAAAATTACTTTTAAAATAACCAAATTCTGAATTGAGTGATAAAAAAATGAATATTTTCTCGAAATAAATTGAAAAATAATCAAATTAAAAAAAATTATCCAATTATTATTATTTTTCAAAGTAAAGTTGAAAAAAAAACAAATTTTGGATAAAATAATCAAAAAATTATTGTGTTCCAAATTAAAATTGTAAAACAATCAATTTTTGAATCAAATAATAATAAAAAAAAATAATTATTTCCCAAAGTAAAATTTAAAAATATTCAAATTCTAAATAAAATATCAAAAAAATTATTATTTTCCAAAGTAAAATTACAAAAAAAATTTCAAAAGAATCAAATTCCGAATTAAATAATTAAAAAAAAGAATTTTTTTCTCAAGTAAAATTGAAAAAAAAAATCAAAATTTGAATTAAAATCACAAATAATTAAAAAATAATCCGAATTTGTGTGAAATAATCAAGTTTTGAAAAAAAATTCAGAAAATAATCAAAAAATAATCCGAATTTGTATAAAATAAACAATTTTTCATTAAATATTCAAAAAAGAATACAAAAATATTCAAAAGAAAAATTAAATTTTGATTAAATATTTAGAAAAAAATCAAAAAATAATCAGAATTTGACTTAAAATCACAAATAATCGATAAAAATATTGAATAATCACAAAGTTAATGATCTCAACTTGCGACTGATTTTCCCCTTGCATTCAAATGTTGCTCCAAAACAATTTCTCACAGTGTCGTGTTGAGGAATTAAATTTATTGGGCGGTTTTAGCTTCAAACCCATCTTAATTTGTGTTTGCGCCTCTCAAAGGCACTCACAAGTGTGATAATTCGTGGGTTTCTTGCACTTGCCACAATGCGGCATTTGGAGTTTTGCACCCTTTCACAACGAATGATTAATGCTGTGAATAATTAATTGAGATTCTTATCGAGACAGTGTCGTTATCAATTCAAAATGTGACCTTTTTCACATAAAACACGTGCAGAGAAGATCAACAGATTTACCATAAAACCACAAGAGAACTTTATATCCCTCAGGAAAGCTCATTAATTTCTCACTCGGGGGTTGTTTATCAATGCAGAAGTGCATAAAGAATCTTATGCTCATGTTCTCTATGTCCTTCAAAGTCTTCTTCCTTCCATCTTCTTAGCATTCTGCAAAGTGTGAAGGAGTTTTCTTTGGGGTTCTCGTATTTTACGCGAAAAGTTCACTGGCAAAACTTTCCCAAGCCGCGTCGTGAGCCAGAGTTGGGAGGATTTCAGATGATTGATAACACTCACAGAGTGTTTAAATTTAAATTAGCTTGGAATTTATGACGATTCTTCCCCCCCCCCCCCCAAAAATATTGCCAAAACACGCGAATTTACAATGATTTCCAGCACGTTTTCGCGATGGAGGCGCCGGGTGAAGCATATGCTTCATCCAAACAAACTTGTTGCAGCGCTTTTTCGTGATGCATTTTAAATGCAATTTCAAGCAACTCTGTGGCATTTTTCGCTTTTTCTGCACTCCAATTTCTCATTTTCCCTCCCCCTCTTCCTTTGCAAAAACATCGCGCACTTTTCCTCAGACCCCTATATAGAAAAGTTTCTACCTTTTCCTTACATAAAATTCCACTTTATCTTGCACCCACTTTTTCACCCAAGTGTTGACGCTTCTCTTTACACTCAAACTCACTCTTTCGACTCTTCGCTCACAGTATCACATCCTTTATCCCATTTGCATTTAATATGACGGCTCAGGGAGTGAAAGGGTGGCAGGAAAAAAAGGAGAGTTTCTCTCCCTGTAATAACTCAGCTTCATTCATGGCATTCTCAAAAAAAGCTCCGCATCGTTATGTACTATGATAATAAAAAGGATCCAATTGATTTTTTGCTCGTCCCAGAGATCTCTTGTTGCTCTTCTCTCGCTGGGTTTTGGCGACTGGTCTTCTGGTTATCCTAATATTCTATCTTCGTTTCGGTGGCGAAGGCAGAAAAAAGGTTATTTCACAGCCCTAAACATAAATACCCAGAGCTCTTGTACCGCCCCCAAGGGGGAGATAATATGCCTTGAATCTGTACATCACTTTTGTGTGGATTCTCCAACACTTCAGACACTTCTGGACGCTTTTAAAGACATCTTTTCAACTGTTTCTCACCCTAATTTCTATCTTATCACAATCTAATTCAGATTTTATCGTCTTCAAAGAAGTTAAAGCTCTTCAAATGCCAAGATTTCAGGTTGAATCCGGCGTAAAGAAATACATATTGAACTGATTTTAATCTGTCTAATTAATCTAATCTAATTTTTTTTCAATATGAGCCTTTATTTGTCACTTTAATACACAAATTGCGGAAATAATTAAACAAAAAGACACTTTTCTACACTGAAATGGTATTTTTGATGTTTTATTTGACTTTTCGGCTGTTTTTTTCAAACACAAATGCTCAATTCTGTCAAGAAAAGTACAAATTCGATGATTTTGAGAGTTATTTAACCACCAGAATTGCTTTTAAATCAATCAAATAACGTAGAAAAGCAATAAAATTCATTTATTTAAGTGAAATTCTTGAGAAAATGCCTCAATTTTTGTTGAAATTGAAGCTTTTTCAATGTCTTTCCCTTCCACAAAACTGTACACCACTTCTGACCACAATATCTGCCCCTTGAACTCCCCGGGAAATTGCGAGGCAACACAAAAGCTCAGCCTATGGCAAACATTTGTAGAGACTTTGTGTTATCGCTGCCATTTGGCCGCAATTGACATTCGAGTTCAATCGAGCACTTGATCAACTTTGCACAGCTCTAATGGTGAGACGATCGCTGTTCTGCCCAAATATTGATTTACAGGCTTCGAATGAGGCGGAAATTTGTGTCCGTGGAATTGAAATTGTGTTCTTTGGGCGATGAATTGTACATCAAAACCCCACAACGCGGCCTCTTGGCTCACTTTCTGCGAAGAATTGGATGCTTTGCCGGTTGGGAAATTGAATAATATATAAAGCAATAATGCTTGTTTCATGTAAACGAGCCTCTGGGCATCAGCATGTGTGAGTCTCGTGATTCTCCGTGGATTTTATTCCCAATAATCAATCACATTGGAAATATTTCATTCTCTCTCACTCGCTCAAGTGATGATTTATTGAGTGAAATTTGAGTTTTTTCCGGGGTTAAGAAATTGATATTCGACAGTTTTCTCAAAGACAACTTTAATTATGTGAAATTCAATTAGGAAAATCTCCCACACTAAACTCTGGCTTCAGAGCACAGAAGATTAATGAGCTTTTCGAGTAAAAGGATCTTTGTCTCCATCGCATAAAGTGCGGAAAATGGTGAAACTACCAGAAATTGCTATTGTTTCGTGCATCTTCCCATGGAATTAATTTAATTTCAAACTGAGTTGCATGATAAAATACAGAGTCAGATGAAAGATAAGAGGAAAATGTGAGCCTTTCGGAATCTCCTCGTTTTCCACTTGCGCCTAAAGAAGCTCCTCCACATTGTTTGGAGATCCTATGCAAAGTATCTTCTCTCTGTGTCTCTTGGAAATTCAAAACCCCAATTCTGCGAATAATTGAGCAATTTATTCACTCATGTTTACAATGGTTGGGAATATATTTTTGGCTTTTCCCCTCAATTTTTCAGCCTCATTACGACTCACGAAATTGAATACAATTTCGAAGGAAAGTCGCAGGTTAATTGTGGACGAAGACTTTTTTCTCTCTCTTCAACTTGGCATAAACTTGGTGAGTGATTTCACCTTTTTCCCAATGCTGTTTTAGGAGATTATAAACAAAAGATGAAGTACAGCAAACTTTTGGCACATTTGCTGTGGGCGTTTTTGCATAATGCAAAATCCAAAAGATCCTCACTTGAGAAATCTGGGTATATATATTTGAGACATTAAGTGAAAATTATCATTTTTGCAACCTTTCATAATTATTCAAGCAATTTCGCAATTCAAAAGGTCAGAAATTCAACGATTCACAAGGATTTCAAGCTGAAACACGACGTAAAATAAAATTTTATAGTCGAAATAAAACGAATTCTGAGGGTTTAATTGCGAATTCCATCAATATTGTATCTTTTCATAGGTTTTAAAGGCTATTTTGATGAGATTTTAGCACCGTTCTTGCCCACAAAGCATATTTATTGAGTCAAATTTTAAGAAAACTGATATTTTGTGGTTCTAATCTGCAAATTGTGGACATAATTGAGCAGGTAAGTCATCGTTAAATGAAGGAACTGTGTATTCTTTGCATTTAAGATACTTCAAGGAACTCGCAAGAAAGTATAATGCAGAAAAATGTCGGGGTGAATTTTTAAACTCCATTCTTGAACAGATTTTCAACCAAAGAAGACGATTTTCGTGCTGACTGCTTCATTTCGTGGCTTCTCTGGTGAACAAAACTACTTTAAGTTCAATTAAAGTTGTCGGAAAAGCGCTTCAGACATCCAGAAACTTCATAAACACCCGCTGGATATACTTCTATGGCCAATTCCTAATCAAACAGCGCTTCAAAGATCATCTTCGCGCCTCTGAATAATGAGAATGGCCAGCAATGAAGATTTGTACTATTTTTACAGTAGAAAATAATGCAAGATTTTGATCCCGAATGAGCTTCAGAATCTAGATTTTGGAGTGATCAACTCACCAGCTGTGCAGAGTCGCATGTCCTCGTCGTATCCATCTGCACAATCCGGCGCTCCGTCGCACAAGTACTGGATGGAGATGCATTGGTCGCTGCCAGGACACTTGAAGGGCTCGTACGGATGGCAGGACTCTGAAAGACAATGGAGGACAATTTGTTAGGCGCCTGAATGGAGCGTCACACTCAATTCATCTCTCCTAAGGGTTGAAAACATGCCGAGCTCGCAATGGCGCGTGAAAACCTCAATTAAACGGACAGATGGAAAGGCAGAAGGAATGAAAATTTAATTCACAATCATAATTGAGCATTTCGACCCAAAGTTACTCCCACACATTCTACCACTTTGGTGGGATTTAATGGTTGGTGGTGGAAGAGAAAAATCTTTGGGATGTGCGAAGGCGAAAGTTCGCCGTGAAACTTTTTCCATTTTACCACCATCAATAGTAAATCGTTCGGCTTAAATGCTGAGTCAGAAGACGCTAAGGGAGTTTAAGATGTCAAAGGAGTTCTATAAATGATGTGTTCTTTCATTAGGAACGACAGCAAGAGTGAAATGCAATGAAAACGCTGCAATTTTCTCTATCTATTGAATTTCTTATGTCACAACTTGGAAGACAAACAATAAGTTCACAATTGAAGACGTGCTTTGGTGAAGAGAAACAACATTATCAATTGCTGATGTTGGTTTGTCGCTGAGTATATAGAATCTGTTGGCAAATTCAACAAGTTGAGCTCCAACCCCCTTCGAATTGGGGGTAGAAAATGCTCCCGTAATCTTCATTTTGTAGGCAATTTTAAACAATATGCTGGAAAAATGGTAAAAATATGTCTGATAAATTATTGATGGAGGAAGATTTTATTGAAATACACCGAAGAAGTCTTGCGGAAATTAATTAAATATTCATCCAAGTGTTTTTCACCGTGGGCAGAAGATTCTCCAAGCTCTTCTCAGGGCGAAACTTTTGGGTTGCCGATGGCAATTTGGGCTCAAGAGGTGGATAATGTGGTCAAATGTGATGTACAATTGAGCAATAGGAAGTGGAAAAATGTTGGGAGAAAGAATGATTCTAATTGGGAACCATTAAGAAGTCTCAGATGTTATTGAATATTTAAAAAGGGGTGAAAAAGAGACCAAAAAGTGAGATTACAGGAAAACAAGGGGGAGATAATATGCCTTAAAGCTTTACATCACTTCTGAACACTTCCAGCACTTAAATTTCCACATTAATTCCCAAATATTTATGAATCTTTTAAGTTTTTATCCGATATTTCTGTAAGAATCGACTTAAAATCGCATTTTTCAGCATCTTTTCCGACCATAACCTCAAAATATTACTAAAAGTTCTTCCAAAAACTCCGTTCGGAAGCTTTCTAGACTATAAAATCCGCCGATGAAGGAAAAAAATGCATAAAAAGCTTTCTAAATGAACATTTTTTTGTTAATTAATGATTAATTCTGCCAATAAGCATAAGAATTGATATGCAAGAATGCGAATAATTCACTAAATCTGTCTCTGATTTGTTACATAACCTAGAAAAAGATTTTTATTATTGATTCTGTGTGAAAATCGAAGGAAATCCAAAGAATTTACGGAATATTGTAATCTTTTGAGTACCTCTTAAGCACTTCCAATCGTATTATCTCCCCCTTGTTGGAAAAAAATCATAAAATATTGCTTATAAACCTGAGTTTCAAACTTTTCAGTTGGGTTTCCAAGTAAGATTAAAGCAAAATTAACGGCAAAATATCGCTAACTTTCAGTCTCGTTAATAATTTTACTAAAGTTCAGGCGATTGTAAGATTTCTTGTGAGGAACTTGTGTACAAGATTTCAGCCCTTTTTCCTCCCCTTGTTTTTCACCCCATAGTGATCCTAGAAGAAAATCCGCACTGTCTGAACTTGAAACTAGAAGCTAATAAAGGTCACAGAGTGATTGAATGCTTGGGTTAGAAGGCAAATCACTCAATTGTGCGTCACATCAGTCAATTTACCCTAAATCTCCATCCAGGGAAATCCTCTGAGGAAATGAAGTGCCAATGTTTTTCAATTAACACGCGAATTTCCCTTCGACATGCGCGAGCAAATGTGCAATTACACGTAATTAAATTTGCAGCCGAAAGCTTCTGGGGTGGATGAAAATCAATACAAAGAGACTCTTCTTCGGCTCTTCCGTGTGGAAAAGGGAAAGAAAAGTTATTGAAAATGGGCGCTTGAGTGATTTTCACTGGGAATTTATGGGGTTCATTATGGCGTCGTGGGTTGAGGATGAACTTTAATTTTATGACATCATCCAGAGACAGAATTCCTTATGGTCGACATCTAATTTACTTAGATAGAGACGCTCTTGGGCAACGCGTACGAGAATAAATGTACATTTCATTAGGAAACTTTGTCGTCTCTCGTCGAAGGGCAACTTTTCCACTCTTGCACGGAAGCGTTTAATTTTTTTTTTGCTTGCTGTACCCAATTTTTGCCTTGAACTTAAAGTGGCTGAAAAACTTTCTTGGCAAAAACACACACAGAATTTATGAGCCTCTGAAGGATTTTCTAGGCAAATATGTATAGTTGGAAGATGCTTTTTGTGGTCATTTCTCATCATAATAGAGAAGTGATCTTGAAAAATCTTCTCCAACAACCATTTTTCTTCTCTGCATTCATTTCTGTGTGACTTCGTGGATGATTTTTCTCGTGGTGACTTTGACAAAAGAGCGCGAAAGGAATTTTTCCAGGGATAATTTTCTATAGTTTCCCACATGAAAATTTATCACAATCATGTGCTTTATTGAGAATGATGTTTAATGTTTGCTCACATTAAACATTAAATTGCTTTTTATTTACACAAACAACCAATTAGTTTCTGTGGAAAATGCAAAATCATTGAGGTGTCATTGCATGTGATTTATTTAATTAAATTCGCATTGCAATAATTGCGAAATTTTCGGCCTTAATTAACCTGGGGAAAAAATTACATTGAAGCAAAGTGCAATAAATGAAAACAATTTTTCACGAAAAAAAACCACACAAAATCAAGGGGCAGATATTATGGTCGAATTTTGCTTAGAAAAAGCCAATTTTATTGCTTTTCTAGGTTATATTATTGATTCAAAAGCCTAAATATCATCAAAATTGTGTTAAAACCGTAAATATTTTTCTTTTTCTTGACACAGTTTAGCATTTGTGCTCAAAAAACATCAAATTGATTGAATTTCGTAAGTAAAAAACGACTTTAGATGTCAAACATAACCTCAAAAATACAATTTTAGTCTAGATTAATGTCTCTTTTCTTAATTCTTTCTTCGAGTTGTTCTTGATTATGCAGTATAAATTAATTTTCCAACTTTGAAAGGATTATAATTGGTTCAAAAAGGGTTTAAAGAATCTTTCTATGCATTTTCTGAAGACAAATCTGGGAAATCAAGATAAAAATTGTTCATGAACTGTTGACGCATTTCAGTGCAGAAATATCGTCGAATGCGCTTCACGCCATAGAGATAAGACCAAACCAGTTCCTTATCAAGTCCCGCTCGGGCACCAAAATTTAATCTATTTGCCTCCTGTGTAATTTCTACTTTCTTCACTCTTAACCAGACAGTCCAACAATCCACATCGCGATTTGTGCCAACTATTGAATTATTAAATTTACAAAACCGCAACATTTGCCCTCTGAAGTGTGAAAAATTTTCAATATAATTAGTTTAAGTGAAGTGCAAGAGTCTCTTTTTTTCACCTCCGCCGCTCATCATTTCATCTCCGCCGTCAGCCAAGCTGTGCCACCAGAGGGGGAGAAAAATTTTTGCCCTCCGAGCCACATAGGCTAATAAGTGACTAATTGCAGGTTGGTGCCCATCCATTTTTGCCCTCCGAGCCACATAGGCTAATAAGTGACTAATTGCAGGTTGGTGCCCATCCATTTTGGCCCTTCGAGGCAACGCCGTCCAAGTTGCGAAGGCGTCCACCAGCTTTTGCGGTGACCAAGTGCAGTCCACGCCGCCATTCAGCTCTGCCGTATCAATCTTCACACGCCAAGTAAGTTGTAACAGTGTAGAGTGAAAATTTGTGCAATTCCCATCTTTTTTCCTTTCGCTCTCACCCTGATTAATTATGACTCTCCTGAGCAAAAGAGCGACACTTAAGGGTCACCTGACTCGCATTGAAAATTATGTTGATTCCGTTCGCAAGGATGAGGCTTCCTTTTCGGCTACAGATATTGCCTCCAACATAACTAAACTTGATGACCTTAAAGCTCAACTCACAATGGTTCATGAAGAGCTAGTGAATACGGGAAATAATTCGGTGACTGAATATGAGGAGCATTCGAGAATCATGGAGCGAATTAGTCAGTTGAGGAGAATTTTGGGTGATGCTTTGGACCGGAAGGATGATAATGATGATCCTTTGCCCATCCCTGGCCCTTCTGGCTCTAATCATCAGCCATCAGCTCAAATTTCTGGTGATTCGTCAATTGCTAATTTAGAAAAAGCTCTTGCCATGCTCATTACCCATCAAGCACAAGCAGAGGTGCGCAATCAGAACTTTTTCGATAGTCTGACCAATGTAGTGGCCCACAGTCCACGGCCAGAATCACACGACGTCAGAAATCAATCCCATTTGAAGCTCCCCGTGTTAACGGTCCCAGAATTTTCCGGTGATTACACTGTCTGGCATCACTTTAAAGACATGTTCACCAGCATTGTTCATCTTAACCCTCGCCTCACTGATGTGCAACGTATGCAATATTTGGTCTCCTCAGTCAAGGGAAATGCGAAGAAGTTGATTGATAGTTTGGCCATCACAGATGCCAATTATTCTGTTGCGTGGGACACATTAGTGGGACAATATGACGATCAGCAGTCTGTTGTTCATCATCACATTGCGCGCTTTTGCACGATGCCAGCAATTTCCACTCCCTCAGTTGATGCTCTTACGGATCTTTTTGCCACCGCCAATTCAGTTTTAAATTCCCTCGACGCACTTGATGTCAAGGAAAGAGATCCGTGGGTCATTTATTTGCTTTTGGAGAAGCTCGACCATGAAACCCAAGTTCTGTGGTCTCGCGAGGTTAAGAGTCAATCACCAACGATGGTCCAATTCTTGCAGTTTCTGAGAGAGAGACTAAAGTCCATTGCACAGT